ATTCTAACTGATAGTTAAATTTAAAAAACTGAACCACATCGATTTTCGACCAGCTCCACATAACAAGTCGTTCATCGCTTCTGGCATGCATGTTGTGAATACTCCATCAACATATGCTAACAGGAACTTGCGACCATCAACTCAATGTAGTAAAGATAAGATTTGAATACTGTGTCTGCAACTCTATTAGGATGAAACATATGAACATATATCTGTTTTGGTTTAAATATTCATCAGATCTCCTACGAGCCTGTTATAATGCAACATAAAGAAAAACAAAATGATGTGAGAATAAAATATTTATTCTTTCTAAGCTGTTCCATTAAGCTGCGGTCGGAGAGCACAGGTGATCACTGAGATGGCTCGACCAAGTTTTGTCAAAATTTTACAAGTATCGACCAGTCCACTAAAGTTGACACCACATTCTTGGCCAATGGCAAGCAAAGGCAAGAAAGAGGATTTCCGGTGTCAGGTTATGGAAGCACTCCGTCGCTTTCTTATACATGGCGACGGTCTAGTAAAAAGCTGTATAACAAACATATTCATCTCAAAGGCGTAACCCCAAAAGAAACTATCATCAGCCGTAGCGAACATTCCATCTTTCGAGAACTTCAAGCCAACGAAATCCGACCACCGACTCAGAACAGCAATCTATCAAATATCAAAAAGAAGAAAGAGAGATGCTATGCGGCGCAGAGCCCTCACAGCTTCTCGCGGAGCTCGGGGGTGTCCTTGGGGGTGCCGATCGTATTGACGAGGCGCTCGAAGTTACGGACGGCCGTGGTGATCTGAAAGAGCCCAGCCGCGACGGCCTGCGTAGGATCTTGCCGCCCGTTCGCCAGATCCCTCCGCCCGATGAGCGGCCGCCCCGACTCCAGATCCTGGAAGCTCATCCTCTCCCTCTCAAATCCTAGCCGAGAAAGAGAGAGGAGGGGCGAGGCGAGGCGAGGGACAAATCCCAATCCCAATCCCAATCCCAATCCCGAACCCGAACCCTAACCCGAGGTAATTTCGTGGGCGAAGGAAGAAATTAAGCGAGAAGAGGGATCGACAGATCGAAACCCTCGTTTAATTGGGAAGGAACAAAAGGGGGTGGCGATCGAGGAGAGATCGGACAGAAGGAAAGGTTGGGAGAGGAAGCCGAGAGATGCAACCCCAAATCGGGCACCACCAAAACAAGACCACGATTTAAACGGACGGCCACGAAACCAATTTGGTTTTTGCGTCGACTTGCACTCAAACCCTTCGCGTGAATTATATGTCACGGAAGAAAATAATATTCGCTCGCCCTCCGCTCTTAAATTCGAATTCGTGTGAGCATTATGTATTATTATTATTATTATTATTATTATTATTATTATTATATATATATATATAATTGATTTATGGAAGACTAATTTGTCTTCTGATTTATCCTTTTTTTTACAGTCAAATAGTCACTGTTTTAGATAATAATAATAATAATAATAATAATAATAATAATACAGGATAATATATGAATGTTCTGCGAGAAAAGTAAAATCTGAGCTATCTAATAATAATAATAATTTCATTCCGTTCATTATCGTCATCTTTTATTAGTTTGACCCAATCATGATTGATTGAATTAAATATTTTTTATATTCTCAATCAATTAAATATATTTCTTATTTATACGTAACTCCGTTCGTAACCTCCGCTAAATTGTACCGTATACATAGCGATGTCATCCCCGTCTGTCCCCCCTCTTATAGAAGGGGATGGAAGAGGTCGAGGGAGTGGAAGGATTTGATCCTTTTGTTCCTCTGCGGGATTTCGCAGTTGATCGAGTGGAAACGCTGGTTCTTTCTCGCGTTTTCTGCTCCGTTCTTCGTCCGGCCGAAGGAAACCTGGTTTGCTACTCTCTCTCTCTCGCTTTTTCTTTTTGGGGACGTGAGCTGTTGCCGTCCGCGAAAGAAAGCGACGTGCTTGCGGTCGAAGGCAGATACAGGGAACAAAGGCTTCGAGCACCGCGCTGTTCCTGACAAGAGAAGGAAGCCGATCCGATGAAGTAAAGACGCGAGAAAAAGAAATGAGTCTTTCTCAGATCAGTCTCGTAAGTCTCCAAAAGCACTTATTTTTATCGTTTTCTTAGCCTCGAAGACAGGTTGGAGTCATCGAGCCGCTTTGGAGGGGGCAACGGGCGCCCATTTCGGGAAGACGACGAGGTATTCCTCTTCGTTGTCGCCATCAAACTTCTAATCTCTCTCGATGAATGGAATTATCGGCGAACAAGACCCAGATGCATCTAATACCATACAGATTCAGAAATCTAAAGGAAGTGTGATCTGAATGTCGAGTAAAGAGAAAGAAAAGAACTATTTTTGGTCAGATTTCGCCATGTACTCGATGGGGTCAGGGGGATTTCGAGATGCAGTCCAAGTTGACGGTGCTCCCGTTCGGCCAGAAGAACCGGAGCTCGCACGAGAGGTACGTCCGGAACTTGACGGAGAGAAAGATCCCCACCCTCCACCGTGTCCTAGCATGCCCGCTGAGGTCGAACGACACGACGCCCCGCTTCAGCGCCACGTCCATGGTCTCCATGGCCGCCTGGTCCAGCGGGATCGGCGACGAAGGGAAGTGGTAATCGAGCTCCAACGAGCTGTTCTTGGCGACGTCGAACGGGTCGGCCCGCAGCGCCGCGACGTCGATCCTATGGAACTGGAGGAGGAAGCTCAGGTCGGAGAAGCTGGCGTGGGCCTTTTTGTTGTCGTTCTCTGCCACCAGATTCAGGACCATCTCGATCTCGAGAAGCCCCGGTTGGCCGTAGTCGAGCTTGCTGAGGTGTGCGTAGGCGACCTTGATGTATGGCATCTTGGGCTGGTAGATAATGTAGATGGCGAACACGACGATGCCGGCGATGATCACGGCTATTGCTAGGACGGCACACACGATCGCAGCTAGCCAGACTGCCCAACTGGTCTGCTGCGGCGTGGCAGGAACGAACGCTGGCATCACGATCTGCAATGAACAGCATCCGGGGATTGATTGGGAAGGAGATCAATTGGTGTCTTGGACATGGTGGCTTAAGGTTTGGTATCTCCTTTGCCCTGATGGAGAGCTACTGGTTTTCGCCTACAAAGTGTTTGTTAAGGGGCCTTTGTAGCTTTATGGTTAGCCAAAGTAAAATACCATGCTTGCCTTGCGTTTGCTGGTTCGCCCTTTACCCTTTTTGAGGTGCCACCGCTCGGCCATGATTGGATCTGCCAACCTCGCTGAGCATGCAGCCTTTTTGCTTTATGGTTTTAGGTTTTCCATTTTCTAAACCATTCGATCACTTATTGTAAAACTACAATTATCGAGGGAAGATCTTGTTGATATCCTGATCAGTGTAATATGATTTTTACTTGTGTTTACAAGATTGTTCGAGGTGGACGCATCAAACTCAGCAAAGTACTATTTGCATGTAGACTAAGGTTAAAAGAGATTTTTTGATTTACTTCGTACGATGTCCAAATTAGTAATACGAGAAAAGTAAATCTGATGATCAATAAAAAATGATCTTTTTTTATAATTATGGTAAAAATGAGTTTTTATATATTGTTGTAAAAGAATCAGAATATTTTATAAAATATTCTACGGGGAAACAATATGTAACTCTCTATCTTAGACCCTTATCCATATCGATAGACTAGCATGGGGTAACATTTGTTTCGTTCTTTCAGTATGGACGTAATATAAAGGTCACGTGTTGGATAATGATTGGTCGATAATATTCTCTCCATCATTTGTCTCTCCTCCCCTTTTGAAGGTGAACTTCATGAGGTCTCAAAGTGTAATTATCAACTTATCTAACACGTGATGTACAGATTATCAGGGAGCAATTGAGAAGCTTATTATTTACCGTGCATCCTCTTTTGATTATTGGAGCTCTCGTTGTATCTCCTCCAAATATCAATCTATCTATCGTAGTTGGATCCGTAGGGAGTCCTTCGTTGAGTCTACTAATTGGGCCCCAAATTCAAGTGGGGTAGATTGAGAGTGGTGTGGTCCACTGAATTGCACTATCGGAAATCGAAGTGCTCCCTCAATCGATGATTCGACAAGCCTCGAGCGATATAGTGATGTCGATATTGTGTCACATTAGGTAATCTCAATAGATGTTAATGGTGACAGAGCTAGGGACTGCGATTGAGCTAGTGGCACTGCTTATTGAACATCAATTGAGATAGTGAAGTTATATGAAGACTTTCTTAGATAGTGAACACAATATCGATGAAATCATTGATCTAATCGGAATAGACATATGATGATTTTTTTATTTTAATAAATTATTTAATAAAATCAGGAAACATCTAATGTTCACATTTATATGGTTATAATGGGGCTTCAATCATATTAATTTGACACTCTATTTGTATTTAATCATCAAAAGATTAAAATATTTTTGTTTCGATTAATTAAAAGTGTTTAAAAATCATTATTTCTCAAGCTCGGTAATGCATTGTTCTGGTGGCACAAATAGTGGCTCAAATTATCTTATCATATTAACATCGTCATTTAGGCAAAATTAGTATCCATCTCATGAACGGCGCATATTATTTGGTGGAGAGGTTTATTCTAGTGGGACGGCTATGATGTGGGAATTGGAGGATTCCAATGCAAGATCTAGTTGGAGAGGATCCGCAACCTGTTGATTCGACCTCAAACCCGGAAGCTTATCCCCGCTTAGCTCATCGAGGCTATTCGACGTGTTAGCTGGGGTCCACAGGTGACCCCACAATTTGATTGGTGTCACGTAGGAAGAGAGGCAAAGTGTTGGATCACTATTTAAACCAACGGTTTAGATTGAATCGAATTTGGAGCCGCCGGAGTTGGGCCGCAGGATCTTTGGGCGTGGCGACATGACAGACGTGATCCCAACCCGCAGAGGGGGCACATGGGGTCCATGTGAGATGGGAGAGAGGCGCCTGGACTCGTGCGTGAAGAAGGTAAAATTAGCTAGTGTTGGTTTCGTCGGATCCGCGAATTCATAAGGGGACTTTTAGGGTTGCGCTGCGATGCGGTGAGAGTAGGGCATCACCGCACCTCCGCGAGTGAGAGATCCGAGCGCGATAGGGAGACGACAAGGCGCCGAGCTACGGCTGCAGCTGGCAGTGAGCGTGCCTTCCTTCGTCGGATGTCTCTGATCCTATTCGTTCAATCGAGTCTGTTTCCTCGCTTAGTTCGATTCGTTGCTCGTTAGGGTTCCTTCCCGTTTCTAATCGGCTCATTTCGGTCCCTAAGTTTCCCGTTCTTGTTGTGTAGGATTTTTGTGATCGTTGGAATTCCTTTTTCATATCGTTGGGTTTCTGAATCGCTTTTTGCGATCTTTTTGGGGTTCCTGGATCAGTGTCATGCCCATTTTTAGGTAGATTGTGGGAAAGATGGGTTGTTTGGTCCCTTGAAGTTCCAATTTTTATGTTGTGTTTGATTTGAGCTAATTGGAGTGGATTTATAGTCGTCATATCTTCCCTCTTATTATCTTGTAATATTTATTTGAAGTTTCTTCGTTTCTCTTTGTTGATTCTATGAAAAAAGTGATTTTTTTTCTTTAGTATTTTCTGTTGTGGTAATCTCCGAGTTCTATCATTTGATTGGTCACGTTTTTGAGCTGATTGATCTCTTTTGCAGGTTCTGATACTGGTTCTGAATGATGGATGGTAATTCCCACGGTGTCAATGGCTTGATAGAGCAGCATGTGGATCTCGAGGATGATAGCATAAACTTCTGGACAACATTGGGTGTCAGTCCTCATGTCCATGTTGTGGAACCTGAGCATCATCTTGTGCCTCAGCATCAACACCACCACATAGAGCAGCAGCAACAGCAACAACAACAGCAGCCTCTTGAACTGGTGGAGCAGTCAGTCCGAAGAGAGCTTTTTGCAGTGGAAGGGGATCCAAGGATAGAACCATTTGTTGGTATGGAGTTTGAATCTGGGGAGGCTGCAAAGACGTTCTATATAGCTTATGCTGGACGTGTGGGCTTCTCTGTTCGTATTGCCAGGTCACGACGGTCGAAATGCAATGAGTCCATCATCATGCTGCGATTTGTGTGCTCGAGAGAAGGTTTCAGCAGAGAGAAGCGCATCATTGCTGGCAAGAAGACAAGGAAGCGGGCTGCTTCCATCAGAGAAGGGTGTAAGGCTATGCTCGAGGTGATTCGAAGAGGCGATGAGAGGTGGGTCGTGACGAAGCTTGTGAAGGAGCATAATCATGAGGTCGGTATGCCAAGCAGGGTGCATTACATTGCCACGGAGGGAGATGCTGTGATGGATCCATATATTGGGATGGAGTTTGAATCTCTTGAAGTTGCCAAGACATTTTATTATGCGTATGCAAGCCGTGTGGGCTTTGAAGCTCGTGTTCGACAGTCACGCCGTTCTTTGCATGATGAATCACTTAAAATGTTGAAACTTGTTTGCTCAAAGCATCGCTACCATTCAGGAAGGGATAATGGTAGTGATGAAAACAAGAGGGTGCAGAATCAAGATCCATCCAAAGAAGGTTGTGATGCATTATTTGAGATAATTCGGAAAGATTCTGACATTTGGATCGTTTCCAAACTCGTGCTGGAGCATAATCATGAACTGAAACCTTCTCCGCCAAGCAAGGTTCGATGCATCCGCTCTCAAGGAGAGATACTAGTTATTGCGAAAAACTTTGCTGATACCCGCAATCTTCTATTAAATGGCCAAGGCTCGCAGTATCCTAGAGAGATTCGATATAATGATTTTGGGCCAGATGATGCTCAAAGTCTGCTTGAATACTTTAAGAAAACACAAATAGAGAACCCTGCCTTTTATTATGCAGTGCATATTGAAAACAATAATTGCATGACCAACATCTTCTGGGCTGATTCTAAAGCTCGTATGGCTTACTACTACTTTGGTGATGCTGTTAGGTTTGAGACAAAATACAGAAATGACAAGGAGCTAATGCCTATTGTTATGTTCACAGGTGTTAACCATCATTTACAACCAGTAGTTTTTGGATGTGCCCTGCTTGTAGATGAGACAGAGGCATCATTTGCCTGGCTTTTCGAGAATTGGCTTGCAGCGATGCCTGCACTGCCTCCTGTATCATTGATTACTGAACTAAACAGGACGATTACATCAGCAGTTGCTAAGGCATTGCCACAAACTCGTCATTGTTTTTGCAAGGCACATGTCTTAAGTACCATCCAAGATGAATTGCCTGATTTGTTTTCAGAACATGTTCCTTTTGAAGGAGAATTGAAAACATGCATTGATGAGTCTGAAACAACCGAATTATTTGAATCATGCTGGGTTGCATTGATAAATAAGTATGGTCTGAAGGAGAATGCTTATATGCAGTCATTATACAATATACGTCAGCAGTGGGTCCCTGTCTTTGTAAAGCAAACCTTCCTTGCAGAAGTCCCTGGATCACAAAGATGTGGAAACTTTGACAAAGTTATCGAAAAATATTTCACAACAAAGACCCTTCTACGGGTGGCTGTTAGGCAACTATCTCAGATGCTTGCAAGTCAGTATGAAAAAGAAGCGCAAGCAGAGTTTGTTACATTGTTTGAGAAACCATTTTTGAGGACTGCTTCACCAATGGAAAAGCAGGCAGCTGGTATCTACACGAGATCAATTTTTGACAGGTTTCAAGAGGAATTTGTTGAATCTTTGGGTTATCATGTGGATAAAATAGAGGATGGGCCTATTAGCAAATATAGAGTGATGAGAAATGAGGAAGATGATGAAGCATACAGTGTTTATTTCAATGTCACTGAGAACAAAGCACACTGTGGTTGTTGTATGTTTGAGTTTTCTGGCATTCTGTGTAGACATGCGCTAAGAGTCTTTATAGTTAATGGTGTTCGCACACTCCCAAATGATTACATCTTAAAACGGTGGACAAAACATGCTAAGAGTGGTTCTGTCTTAGATGACTATGGTATTGAACTCAGAGGTTACTCTGATGACCCTTCAATAGCACGATATAATGATCTCTGTCGTGATGCCATACGATGTGCCAGAGAGGGGGCAACGTCCACTGAATTTTATACTGTTGCGAAGGACTCTCTCCAGAAGGCTGTAAATGAGATAGTGTCAACAAAGCAAAAGAGAGGGCAGCAAACACTGCAGAGTTTTATTGCTTCACAGAAGAAGCAAACTAAAAAGGTTGCGAAGATCACTCCTAGTAAAGATGCTTCCAGCAAGAACTTGAGGAAGCTAACATCGATAAAACTGCTGTCTGAGAATGACATCAGATGATACAGTGTAAGATGAATCACTAAATAAATACTTTTCGTTGTTGCATGGGCATAGTTTAGATATACAGTTACCTAATTTCATTTATAATGCTGCAGAAGGTGAGCTCTTTGTCTATTAGTGAGGTATAGAGAGTACATACATAACTGTCCACAGAAATGTTGATTTAAGATAATGACTTGAATTCCACCAGCAGATCTTTGATACAAATTAGTGTTCTGTTTTCTTCAATGTTTCCATGTTTTTTTCCTAGTTAATTGGCTCAAAATACTCCTCTAAAGTTAACAGGTAACTTGCTCTTAATTTTGTGTTTTGCTTGATAGGTACTCATATTATGTTAATTTAACTAGTGAATTGGTTTTTAAGGTGACATCATGAGTTTATTTCTGTTTGTGTAAGTTGATCTTGAATATGACATTGAGTGTGTTGTTAAATTGATCATAGAATAAAATTTATCTTTTGGTCAGTCTCATTTAATAACTATTGGTTATAATTACTATAATTAATTTTTGCATTAATGAATTATAGGTGACACAGAGCGTTCTAAATTCTAATGATTGTCACGGTACAGGCCTCAAAAGTTGAATGAAGTGTTTGTTGCTTTCATGGGACGATTCAACTTTTCTTGCTTTCTTGGAATGCTGAGCCTCACTGGCAGTGGTCCAGTTTATTAAATTGCAATATATCTGTCAAGGTTGGAGTTCAGCTATCCTTTTTTCTACAGTAAAACTGATATGCCATGTAAATTCCTTATATAGCTCCTTTCACATGAATTGTCATCTTGGTTTCTCACATATATGATGTTTCTGTATTAACGAAATCTTTGGAACACGTGGCATGTGGCAGCGGCTAATGTGTTCATATGTAGATTCCCCTTTCTGATATGGTCTTCATAGTTGTGATGAGATAAATGGCTGGATAGTGCAACTACTTGTTTTATGAATTATACTCTACCTAAACTTTAACATGCACATTTGCAGGTGTCACCTTGTAGAAAACTATTACTCGTGAAGCGTGTCTATCGACATTGTGAAACTAGACTCCTCTCTGTTCTTACTAGAAGCTGCTATATATATATGTAGGTTTTGGCCGAAAGTGATCACTGTAGTTAGCCCTTAGAGTTACACGGTTGCTATTCTGATTCATTAATCTTGTACCAGAGTGTGTGATGTGTTTTGGTTGAATTAATTCTTTGCTCCTTGTGGCACATGGTGATAGTTTCTTCTCTGCATATTCATACTCAGCCAAGGTTCTGTTCTGAAAACCATTACTCATGCAACCAATGATAGATGGAGATGTTTTAATCAAGGATCATCGCCATTTTAAGCTCCTTATCTGTGAACTGTGTGTTGCTTCCACATGTATAAAGCTTCGGTTTCCTGTGTATTAGGAAGTTTTGGTTTGAAACTTTTGACACGTTGTGTTAATACTTAATACATTGGATCCAGATTTAGAGTTAGACCATCCTTATTGAACCATGATATTTCACCATAGTGATGTTTGATGGACACCCTTTTCTAGCAAATCTTTTTGACTTTTATAGTTGTCATTCGAATTAATGAAGTTTGCTTCTTTATGCAGTTTTTGAAGGGTTCTCTATCATTCTCACCTACTTCATATGAATTTTTAAGGTCTCATTGTTTCTCTTTTGTGTTACTTGCAGAAAATATGTTTAATTTATAATATTTTTTTAGTATTTGGATTCTTTTAATTGGTCACAACTTAATTCTTTGTCAGTATGGATACTCAGCACTTCTGAATGTGAGAATTCTTTTATTATACACTTTAGACCTCAAATCAATAGTTTTAGTTAATTATGGTAGTTACAGAGCCAAGTCTTAGCCTCTCATCGTCGTGATGTCATGCTTGAAATTTTTTTACACGATGTGCATTATTCAAGTCTTTTATGTCCTTTCTTCCTTATAATTCTCGATTGGCTTCTGCTTTCCTTTTTCTCAAAACTTGAGGAATGCTTCAGATTGATGATGGGTATGAGACAACTTAACAAGCTGGTTAAGATTACATTAAGAACTGCACCTTAAGAATTCAACAATGTTCAGTTAAGGCAATGGCAAATGCAGATTTGAAGTACTTGAGTAATCAGTAGATATTTTTTTGTGTGTAAAATTACAATACTACGAACATTTGTTTAGGAAGACTTTTTCCAAGTAGGATCTGTCCCCTAGTCATATTAAACCATGTGATTCTTTATGGGCTTCTATATGACATTGTGATGTTTGGTTAAAATTCTACTTTAAATACTAATCATGTGGTTTGAAAATAAATTGGTTAGACAAAAAAAATACCACAGAAACATTTATGGTGGATAAAAAGATTAATTAGTGAAGGGAATGTCACATAAATGGAGGGAAAACACTGGTATAAAGTAGATTTAAGAGGTTGTCATAGTTGTATGTGGAGTTAAACTTGTGAGTCATAGCATGCAACCTCAAAGAGTAAATTAGCAAAGATTAAGATAAAAAATGAGCATATTTAAACTTCAGTGTGTTTTATGCCAAGAAAGATCAAACTCAATGGATGGTATTTTACTTATTTCTATTGATCCAGGAGTAGCACATGCTGAGGTTTCCAGTAACTAAATTGCTAGTATTAGAACATATTTTGCTGTACTAACCATGTAGCTGATCTTTGAGATTTACGATTTTGTTGTTGTTGTTGTTGTTATGCTAACATCAATTATGAATTCTTATCAATTTGTACCAGTTAGGAATGATTTTACCAGGCATGTTTACAATGTAATTCAGTATCAGCTAATGTCCTTCAGATGAAGGAAATGGTTTGTGATAGGATGATCAAGAAATATGAAGAAGTTATCCTCTTTTTTTTTTTTAATATAATCTTTTATTCAACAAGAAGAGATGTGTAGATCATGGAGATGTGTGTTGGTGTGTCATGTGATTTGCCCTACACATAAGCATAATACTGCACAGGACAATGCCATTGCCCTACACAGGACCAATCATCTTTAATCTTAGATGATGACAATGCAATTGCAACAGCATAAGCTTAATACTGCAAGTGACCTTCTTTCTCTCTTTTTTTTTATCTTATTGCATTCATTTTAGAGGCACAACATAACACATAAAATATTGATATGCTGATGATATATTAGACTCACTTATCAAGATTAATAGTTTAAGATCTCATTTCTTATTTGGTAAAGGTTTTATTAAAACATTAAAAGATTTTGGAATCATATTTCGTCTTAATTATTTATCCTCCACGTGGCTTGTGGTGTTGTTTGAGGTGCTTATGGCATAGGAAAAGCCATCTCCCACAAATTAGCAATATGATTTAAGGGCTTAATTAGACATCTGCGTAATGGTCCTGTCGTGATTTAGCTCCACAAGTGCACAGTAAAACTTGGCGTCAACTCGTGCATGTTTTGAACCAAATTATAATCCGCGACCCAACTCAAGTTTGAAACCGGCCGGTTCATATGGGCCGGTCTAATTCAATTTAACCGTGCTATCGAATCGAGCCGCTTGATGTGGTCCGGTCTTATCCGGATGCCCCGCTCCATATCCAACCCCTCCCTCCCGTGTCCGACCCAGAGGCCATTCATCACCGGGGAGGTCCCCCCGCTTGGCTCCTCCCTCTCCCTGTTATCGGTTTGGTTCGTCCTCCGCCTGCGGTGGGCGTCGCGGCGGCAATGGCGTGCCTGGTGCCGCAGTTCAAGCCCCCGCCCACCTCCGACGCCCACTCCAGGCTCTCTCTCCCCTCGCTTCACCGTAAGCAAGCTCTAATCTTTTGATTTGGTTCGTCTTTGGTCTTTTGATGAATTACCCACGATTTCAAATTTGTGGAAAAAATCGAAACTGTGTAGAATCATTTATTTACAGCGAATTGATGTTCAAATTCCCGTGGAAGGAACGTGCTCTACTCTGTTTTTTGCCCTTTGTCGCTTATTGGTTGCTGATCCTTGCGATCGGTTTTACGGTTGTCAGCTACTGTTGTTACCGAATCGTCTCATATAAGATGTGGTAGTAGTTCAAACTGTTGAATTTGACTCGTGTGCTATGCTGAGTCTCTTGCTGAAACATTAGAAGGTTTAGAATATGCATAGAAACCCACAGTTCCTTCATGGCTGCTTGTAAGTAATTTATGTATTAGATGCATATTGAACAGTTATTGTAGAAATTTTTTGTTAGCATTGGTGATTTAGTGGGTTGCAAAGGCTGCCCAGCAGTATTGAACATAATGCAGAAATTGGAGTACTATCAACAGGAGCATTTGATCTTTAAGCCTTTAGGAAATATGGACCTAGAATCCTAAGTTTGGAACATTGTTTAACACCAACATGCTTCAGTCTTCTTCAATAAAATTTACACATTGATCTGCGAAAGTTAATCATGTAGTCCTTAGTGGACTCAAAATCTGTCGAACTGTTACTTCTGCAGTCATTGGATAGTTGTACTTCCTTGTGGTAGGGCATAATACCACAATATGATGTGTTTGATCGCATAAAGGAAAGGTCTGATACATCCATCTGCCCTTGTGTAGCAGCTTACCATTTATCTATTTTGCCCTGGGACCTAACCAGCTTTAATCGCAAGTGACATACACTGATAAAGGCATTGATTTTCTAATGCAATACGCCATTGTTTATCGAACAATGCTATTCCATGGGACTTTGTGAATATTATTTCACCATTTTGAGTTGTTTGCCTGTTTGTTTATAACTTCTAAATATTGTTGTTGTTATTGTTTCTAATCTTTGGCTGCAGCAAAGGCCAGAGAATCAGTTTGGTCCCAGGTTCGGTGTGTTTTATCCCCTAAAACAGCTCTGATTGATTTTGAGCAAATACCTAAGTTGGAAGCACGTTCAACTTCCTTATCTACCTGTGCCATTAAACCGTTGACCTATACTGGAGCTGTTGGCCTACCGACCAAGGTCAGTAATTACTTTGTGAGGTATTGTAACAATTATTACACAATGAATCCTCATGTCCAAGGTTAGGAAAGGTCCGTTTGTGAAGTTTACAATAATGAATTTGTCTGGGGAACTTGTGAGACTGTAAGTTTTTGACCAGGGGAATTGGGAATTTATAAAGTGAAGATTTAGTTTGACAACATCTATTGTCTTGTGAAGAGGGAGAGTTTTTAATTACAGTACATCATATTTATCTATTTAATAATTGCCAGATCTTATGTGAGAATAAGAATTTTAGGAAAACTAGCTGATGGGAAATTTTCCAGAATTTATATTTTGGAGTAATGAGAAGGAGAGTGAAATTTCTCTAACTAGCTGATGGGGCCTCCATGACTGAATTTGCTACTGTGTAGAATTAAGAGGTCCAACCTCAAATTCTGGTAGTGGACGTAATATATTCCTTTGTGGAATCACTCATGCTTCCTTGTTGCCAAATTCTATTTTTACAGAAATTTTATGCAGAATTTAACTTGGTGACTTGACCATTAAATGTAAAAGATACAACTGATGTTTTAAGCACTTCTTTTTTCTGGAGCATTTGTCACCCTATTACCTTCTTGAGTTCTTTAAGATTCTGCTATAATGAATGTTGCTATATCACATTTAGAGACATCCCTTCCATGTTGTGTCTAGACTAGCTTCGAAGCAACCTGGGCTTCGGAAGCACTTCTCACGAATGAGGAGGCAGTAATAGCAGCAGCAGCAGCTGAAGCAGTTGCTCTTGCTAGAGCAGCACTTGAACTTGCCAAAGATGCAGCTCAGATGATCAGGAAGAGTCCATCAGCAGAAGTTGAGAATGTTAACCTTTCCAAAACAGAATGGACTGGCATGACCAACCATTCTGTTGCCACTGAAACTACTTCCCTTGAAGACAGTGTTACCCTCGACGAATCTGTGCGTAAAGATATTTCCAGTTCAACGTACAATGAAACTGAAGTAGAAGAAACGGAATATTGTGGAAACATTGCTGTGAGATCTGGGCGTCAAACTGAAAGAAGAGCTAGAAGGGCAAGGGCAGCAGAAAAGGCTGCTGCTGGTGTTTTAAATTTGAAGTCCGGGTCATCTGGAAAGAAAAAACGTTCTACTCTTCAGGAGATTGATTATTCAGATCCCTTGCATTACTTAAGGGGAACAACAAGCACATCAAGGCTTCTCACAGCAGCTGAAGAGGTCGAATTATCAGAAGGAATTCAGGTACAATTTGATGCACCAGAAGCTTCAAACCATTTAACATAGATGCTTTTGAATGGCTTCAACAGCTTTCCTCCTTGGTTTGTCTGCTTGTAATGGTTATTAAGACTTATAGCAAGATTTTATTTAATGGAGTACTTGTGGTTAAGTAAAATGTGTGGATATACTTTTACACAAGCCGAGCTGAAAAGATAAATTTATATTGATTACAGTAGAACTTTCAGTTTTTTGGCTAGTTCTCGTCACTTGCAAAATCAGAGTGGTTTTTCCACTTGCATTTATCTCAACATTTTTTTTCTTCTACTGAATGCCATCAGGATCTACTAAAGCTGGAAAGGTTACAACAGGATCTCACAGAGCGAAATGGTTGTCAACCAACCTTTGCCCAATGGGCCGCAGCTGCTGGAATTGACCAGAAGGTTCTTAGAAAACGCTTAAACTATGGCACCTTTTGCAAGGACAAAATGATTACAAGTAACATACGACTTGTTATATCAATAGCAAAAAACTATCAGCATGCAGGAATGAACCTTCAAGATCTTGTTCAGGTGCTTGCTTATGTAGCTCCTTGGGGGTTGATTGTAGTTTCTATGGTGTCCAATTTCGGAATGCTGATCTTAAATTCTTTGGCAGGAAGGATGCAGAGGCCTCATAAAGGGTGCTGAAAAATTTGATGCTTCTAAGGGGTTTAAGTTTTCAACATATGCACATTGGTGGATCAAACAGGCTGTTCGAAAATCTCTTTCAGAACAATCCAGGACTATTCGGTTGCCTGTAAGTTCTCTTTTAATATATTTATGTTGGTTTTTCAGCAGGCATTATAAGATGGAGATTAAATGCAGGAGAAAGGATGAACATAGTTGTAATATGAATGCTTTAGAAATGTACCGGCTCTTCAATATTAATTAGATATTTTTGCTTGAATTGTTTGCTAAAATGCAGATTGTAAAAACATGCATGATATCACCATGTTTGTTTGTTGCCCTGTAGATTTTTGTTTCAACTTTCGGTCCTCAAAGTGCAGTCAGAGATTATTATTCTCCCTTTTTTTTCATTACTGTTTCTAGGTACCCACCATTTCATCGCATAAAGTTGAACATTCTTCGTAAGGGGATAGACACTTCCAACCTTTAAAATGAAATGAATGATGGGAGCAAGCCATAAAATCTGGAGCTCAACCTCTAAGCTAAACATTAAATATTTAATTTCTAAATCCCATTCACTCGAGAAACATCAGGATTCTATTTGCTTTTGATTCTCCAAAAGTTGAAAAATAATTGTGTTATGGGTCTTGCAGTTTCACATGGTTGAAGCCACATACCGAGTAAGAGAGGCCAAAAAGCAACTATACAGTGAGAACGGAAGGCATCCTGATCATGAAGAAGTCGCAGAAGCCTCTGGGTTGTCAATGAAGAGGTTTGCTGCAGTGATGCTGACCCCTAAAGCTCCGAGATCTCTGGATCAGAAGATTGGGATCAATCAGACCTTAAAACCTTCAGTTTGTTACATCCTATTTTAGAATCCCTGCATACATTATATCATCAACATATCCCACTTTTGGTGTCATGTCTTTGAGTTTGAACGATGTTATGATGCTTCACAGGAAGTTATTGCTGATCCTGATGCTGAGACATCGGAAGACATACTCATCAAGCAATTCATGAGAGAGGATCTGAACAAGGTGCTGGATACTTTAAATCCAAGAGAGAAGCGGGTCGTGAGATGGAGATTTGGATTAGAAGATGGAAGGATGAAGACACTGCAAGAGATAGGGGAGCTGATGGGAGTAAGCCGGGAGAGGATTCGGCAGATCGAGTTCTGCGCTTTTAGAAAACTAAAAAGCAAGAAGAGAACAAAGAATTTGCAGCAGTATATAATTTCGTAAGTCTATTTTCGCCCCATCGTCGTCGCTGCACATTCTTTTTCTCGCATCCAACCATCAGAATTTGTACTTCTCCACTTCACATTTTGCTTAGGCTGAGGAAACATGTAAAATTTATAGTAGAGAACTTGCAATTGTTTAATCAAAGCTTCCAAAATTAGCAGTGATCTATCTGTGTTTGCTGATTGTGCTGGATATGAATTCCAGGATACACTGATGTAAAAATCAACATTTGGTTGGTAATTCTCCATAAATATTTCTAAAATCCATTTCTCAGTAGATTTGGCTAGTAAGCGACCATCAGAGCACAGAATGATCAGATCAAATGGTTATTTTTTTGCTGGCTTCCCAGCAAAATCTATGTAAATTTTCAAGTGGAAAAATGAAAATACTTCGTTGTCTGATTAATCTTCATGTTGATTTTTATGTCCAGGAGAAGAATTACTGATGGATGCCGTTGGTGTATAATTAGTGATCCCTTTGTGAAGAAGGCGTATCGAGAATTCGAGTCAACGTTGACGGCTTGCTCTTTCTCCACGTCGAAGCTGTCGATGGCTGTGCCTCCAACCCGAACTCGGTTCGATTCGAAGTCAAAGGCTCGAGTTCACGATCGTTTCCGCCTCTAATACTGCTGCTCAAATCTTGCATCAATGTCAGGAATTGATTCTTCTCCTTTAAGACCATCAGCTTCCAACAATTACAGGAGATCGTTGCAACAGAAAGGCAAAGTTTGCTTCTGTACATTATGAAATATGCTTCCAAAGATGACACCTTGCAAGAAGACAACAGCACTAATGACTACACTTTGATTGCTGCGCCACCAACCTCTGGCATCAAAGATTGTTGTGTTCGGTAGCTCTCCCCAGCAGAATCTGGTGGTGGCAGCATCTGATGTTGCTCAAGATCCAAAAAGATGGTCACGGAATCTTGATCCAAGCAAAGGAAATCGGCGAAGGAAGATGTCTTTTTCAGAATAGATTGGTTTGGCGGCCGAGGCGGAGCGGCAGGCCAAAGTTCTGGTAGATCCTGATGTGGCCGCCCAGGCCGGCAGTGACGACGACGAGACCCCACGCGTTCGGGGGGTCGGTGCTGCTGGTCCTGGTGCTGCCGCCGCTGTACCACCCCCAGGACGAGAAGGACGAAGAGAGGGTCCCGGGATCGGAGACGACGGACGAGGCCGCCCCACCCGACGCGAACGAGTCGCTGCCGATCCCCCAGCGGGACACGCTCCTGAACTCCTCCCGGTGGGACGACGGTCCCCGCTCCGAGAAGCTCTTCTTGGAGAGAGCTGCCGCGGGTCTCCTGCCGCTGTGGAAGATGTCTTCCAGCGAGGCGGTGGAGCGCCGGGAGTCGGTGCAGCCAAGGGGGTCCTGCTGCGGCGGCCGCTGGTCGAAGCGCCCGGATGTGGGCGACGGCAGCGACAGCGGCGAGCACTGGCTTCCGGCGCTGGGCCACGGGATGGCGACGGACACGTCCTTGCAGTAGAAGTACTCGTGGGAGCGGGTGGTGGTCCAGCTTTTGCCTTTGCCCGCGGCGCCCACGACGCGCCCCGCCTCTCGCTTCCATACGTACACGTACGAGTCCTCGCTCGCGCTCACCACGTACTTCCCCTCCGACGCGTACGACGCCGAGATTTGACTGCTGGTGTTTCGGAATCCTGTCTCATTCAGAACTATCATCAAACACTTGACAGGGATGTCTCATTCTGCAGTCGATACTTCAACAGCAGAAAAGCTTAAATAAATGCATACAATACACAGAAATCCTCTTCTAATTCTAATGTTCATCGATAGCAAGAAAGATGGCACTTTGGTTGCAATAGGCATCTCTTACCTCTAAATTTGTGAACCATATTGGGGCCATCGAAGACCCGAACTCGCGAATCAGCAGAGGTGATCAACACTTCGGATGGATTGCCGGGAGCAAACTGTTTGAATACAAGTGAGTCAATCTAGTATGCCAATGCCCTGTTCATGCACAGATGGAGATTTTGATGCTAGCAGCGGAGCGGATCAAACACCTACCGCGTTCTCTTATTATCCGATCAAAACCATGGTCATCGAAGTAGCAGTAAAAGAAGCTGCTGCATGTTACCTTGGAATCGAGGATGAACACAGTGGCGGCTTTACCTGGAATCCGGTGATCTTTTTCGCATGGGATTTCTTTTTCTTGATCCGTATATCCAGCTGGCCTTGTTGAGAAAGTTTACAGTCTGCAGGCATTAACCAAGAAACAACTGGAGATTCATGCAAGCAAAGAGCAACGCAAGTATAGGAACTTGAAAGAAGAAGAAGAAGAAGAAGAAGAAGAAGAAGAAGAAGAAGAAGAAGGGCCATACCGGAGGTCTTGTAGAACCGGCAGCTCCCCTTGTGTGAGCCAACCAAAGCACCCTATCAAAGATGGATTGCAACCAAATTACCAATCGGAAAAACACATGTATCCTCTGAGATCGAGCACAATAGCAATGTAGATGATGGTGGATTTGATTGCATTGCACCTGGCCATCAGGGGTGTAGCAGGCGGCGGTAACCATCTCGTGGAGATCATTCCAGTCTACGACTTGACGCTCTGGTACGCTCCATATCCGAACCTTGGAATCAAGAGAGCCACTGATGAAGTACCTGTCATCTATTGGATTGAACTGGATGCATGTCACTGCCCAATTCCATCACCGTGCAAAGACATCAGGATGAGAGCTTCGCCGGAAGAAATAAATCGTGGTGGCTGTAATGACCATAATCGTTGCCTTACCGTAGTCATTGTGGGCGAATAGCTTCAGGCACTGCTTGCTTTCGATGTCCCATAATCGGACCGTCTTGTCCATCGACGATGATAGCAAATGCTGCAAAGTAATGAATTCTTCCTCAGGATTTTATCGACGATGAAGGAGAACACAAAACACAAAGAGCAAATTGAGATGGGTCGATGAGTTGCGTGGGCTGTTCGATATCATTACGAAGGAGATGGTTCCTTGTTCTTCAGCAGAACAAGGCGATTCCAACTCCGAATCATGCTGTCTGCATTACCTATCTTGCATCGAACGTAATTATCATGTGATTTAGAATATGGTGGCAGAGTGCAGGATGAACCTGAGATTTAGACCAGGAGAGGTCCAGGATATCATCCAGATGACCTTCCAAGGAGCAAACGGGCTTCTCTGAGAGTGAGAAGATGACCTCCGGCATCACGATGTAGTCAGGGACGGACCTCTTGCGGCTCTTGCTCTTCTTGGTGCTCTTCGAGGGCTGGGTTCCGAGGAGAGGGGAGCGCTCTGGGGATCCATCGGCCATGGACAGGCGAGAAGAGCGAGCCTCTTGGCGCCGTAACGGGGAGGAGAGGATGTCGCATTCTTGGACTTGCCATACACGGACGACGCGGTCCTCTCCGGCGCTGGCCAGATGCCGGCCGTCCCAGCTGAACTTGATGCTCCATATGGAACCCTGGTGGGCGTGGATCTCCTGGGTCATGTAGAGGCCCGTGAGCTCCTTGTAGGACTTGCCGTGCTGGCGAACCTTCATCAGCTCCGACGAGCTGTCGGCCGACGACTTCCCTGCCGCCCTCCACCCGGCGTCCCCCTTCTCTTTCTCCGTTTTGAGCCCGGTCACGGAGCTCGCCACGAACTTGATGTTCTTGAGCCAGCCCCTTTTCTTCCTGTAGCCCGATTTGGAGCTCTTGGAGCCGTCGAGGGACGGGACGGGCTGGTCGTTGCTCTGCGGCTCGCGGCCGCTGCCGCGCAGATTCGCCCTGCGCATGAGCTCCTTGACGATAGGGGAGTTGCCGAGGAACTGCTCAAACTCCTCCATGGACATCTGCGACCCGGTCTGGACGTCGTTGAGCCGCCGCCATGTCCCGTCCTTGCCCAGCTCGCTGACCACGAATTCCCTCCCCGTATCGAGGTTCTTGACTCGGCACACCCCACCGTTGGCGGACACGAGGCTGCCGCCTTCCTTCGCTTCTTTGACACCGGCGGCGCCGCCGCCGGCTCCGGTCTTTTGCTGAGCGCTGTGGCCCCAGAGGGTTGGCGGGGCGGAGGCGGCGCGCGGCAGGGCGGGCTCGGCGGAGGGGGGGGCGCCCCGCGTCGTCACCAGTTCGTTGTCGGATCGGCATTTGACGATCGCCAGCTGGTTCTGCGACGGGGCGGGATAGGGAGGTGGCAACCCAGATTCCAGGGCGTGTTCGCCGCTGGCGGCGGGAGCGGTGCTGACGGCTTTCAGGTTGCTGCTGCGGTTCCGCAGGGCGGCGGCGAGGTCTTTGCTGCTGGCGAAGCCCATGCCCTGGAGGAGGCGGCTGCGGCGCTCCTTGATGGAGGTGGGCTCAGCCATCCAAACGTCGTAGTCGTAGCCGCCGAGGTCGGGGTTGTCATTGTGTTCGACGAGGAACTCTTCTCGAGAGAAGGTGACGCAGCGGAGGTCGGTTGGCGGGGCGATCGCGGAGGCAAAGGAAAAGCGGACGTCATCGTCCTCGTCTTCGTCGGAGTCGGAGGGAAGGTCGACAAGGAAGGAGACGCTCGATGGGATTCGGTCAAGGGGCTCGAAGAAGCAGTCCTTCTCCCCCACCTCCTCCTCGCTTTCAGCCTCCTCGTCTTCTTCCTCCTCCTCCTCCTCCTCCTCCTCCTCGTCGTGATGGTCTCGATGCGGCTGATGATGGTGGTGATGGTGATGATGATTGTGGTGATGGTGTTGGCGAGCATCCTGTGCTGACCCATGTCGGCGACTCCCGTTCGCTTGTTCTTGTTTCTTCGTCATCGTCGTTGCCGTCGTCGTCGTCGTCATCATGATGGAAGCGTCGATGGCGATGTTGGTGGCCCTGCGCGGAGGGACAACAGCATTGACCGCGCCATTTCAGGGAACAATGCATAAGCGAAACAAGAGACGAAGACGTGAGGCGTCGTGGAGGGGCGCGAGCGGAGTTCGGACGTCTGTGCTTTCTCTTTCTTCTTCTTTTCTTTTTTTCATCCTTTTATTAAACAGTCCTCACTCCTCCAATTATTATTATTATTATTATTATTATTATTATTATACCCCTTTCGAAATCATAATGATGCCAAAGAAATTAAAAATAATATATATATATATAAGAAAAGAAATTAATATACATATGCATGGTCTCCAAAAAATTCCTGCAGATATTAATTAAAGGAAATTAAACGGCAGCTAAAAATTGCTTAATTGTTTTCTCAATATAATTTTTAATTTAAAAATAAGAAATATTTTCATTACATTGAGACCTATCACTTAATGTACTAATCAACCCAGATATCTCAATAAAAAATATTTTTATAATATATTTGCCTTCTATGATTTCTCTATTATTCAAATTAAAAAAATAAAAACTTATTGGTTTAATTTTCTTAAATAAAATATTCTACGTGAGAGCAAATAATACTGCCGAACCACTTCAATAATAATCTCTCTTCTATTATACTGCGAGAAGGAATGAAGTCTTCGTCTGCATCTTCTCGAGCTGGACACGAACGTCTCCGTCCCTCTTTGCCTAACCATCGAAGAGGTTGGAGTTCTGCGTGAGTCTCTCTTCGCCAAGAGAAATTTAGGAGACCCCGCCGCGTTCCTTCTGGCTAAATTGTTAAGGTGTTTCTTCTCTTCCCCTCCATGGCATGCAATCCAGCAGTCGCTCCAAAAATAGCGCCATGGCACGTCCCACGCGATCAGCCTGGTGCTATAACAAGTCCAAAAGCCCGGACCTCGACCACGTCGCAGCCTTGCTAGGCGAGAGGGGTGGCACTGCGGACGAAAGTAATGGCGTCGGCTTCTTCACGGACGGCTCTTCTGTGCTTCCTCCTCTTCTTCGGCAGCATCACCCTGATCCAGGTTATTCTCTTCTCCAGATATCGGTCCGTTAATTAACCATGAGATGTAATGGCTTCAAGTTCCTTTTCGTCGAACACCTTGTGTCGTTGGTTTCAGGCTGAAGAACTAAAGAAGGTCACCAGCAAGGTTTACTTCGACATTGAGATTGCTGGAAAACCTGTCGGTACGTATGCGTAGTTCGAAGTAAAACTACTGCTATCTCAGTTGGGTTTCCATTGAACACATTGATGAACGTGCAGGTCGAATAATTATGGGTCTATTTGGGAAAACTGTGCCGAAAACAGCAGGTATTCTTTCATGATCATTCATCTTTGGATTCATCTTTCTCAGGTATTCCATAGTTACAACCATCATACAAGTAAAAACCAGCAAGCTAACTTTTCTTCTTTGACTCTCTCTGTTTCTGCTGCAGAAAACTTCCGAGCGATTTGCACAGGTAATGAATGCTAACCTTACTCTTCTAGCAGTGTGTGTTAGCTAAAAGAAGGTGCATTGAGATGCTCTTGTTCATAGGTGAGAAAGGTCGGGATAAATATGGGGTGCGTCTTTACTACAAGGGAAGCACATTCCACAGGATAATACCCCATTTTATGATCCAGGGAGGTGACATCGTGTTCGGCAATGGCAGGGGAATCGACAATATTTATGATGAGCCATTTGCTGATGAGAACTTCAAGCTCAATCACACTGGACCTGGTAAGCACCGCACCTGTCTAACTTGTCCTCTGTCCCGTTGCAGCAAGCATGACGTGCTAACCATCAAGCTTTGTTCTACTGGTTGGTGCAGGACTTCTGTCCATGGCAAATGCTGGCCCCGATACCAATGGATGCCAGTTCTTCATCACCACTGTAAAACTCACAAGGTACTCGACTTGGTTGAAACTGTTTACATATATATATATATAGATTCTGCAAGAGTCGGATGATAGCTTTGTTCTCCAGGTTGGATGGAAAGCATGTTGTGTTCGGTGAGGTGTTGTCAGGAATGGACGTGGTGTACAAGATTGAAGCAGTAGGGCAAGCGAGTGGCGTCCCCAGAAGCAGAGTCGTGATTGCAGAGAGTGGAGAATTGCCTTTGTGATGTACACCATCTTGTTCTATTAGCTGTAACCTCGAAGAACATTTGCTGGATTGCTAATTGGATATGTTATCGCTCTTCTGCCCTGCATTCATCTTCTTGAGTTGCTGTGATCTTTGATGCAAGTCAGAGGGATGACAGCTGATATATATATGGAAAGAGCTTTACGTGAAACACAAACACAGTGTTATTTGATGTTTTCTAAAGCATATAGAATTCGCACACGATCGAAAGCTTTCGCCACAGCAAACACGAGGAAGGCAGCATTGAGGACGTGCAGTGTCGCAGTTGGTTCATGGAAGATAGTAATCCGAGGTCAAGGTGCGGAACACCGGTGGCTGCTCCGCTTCCAGCACCTCGGCCACCTTCTTCAGGAGATAGACGTACACCACCCAGTCCCCAGCCGCCGTCGCGCTCGGCATCGGCATCACGTAGCCGGTGCTTCCGCCCCATGGGAAGTGGTACGACCCGAACGCCGCCTTCCCCCACCCGAACTGCACCTCGGCCACCGGGAACTCCCTCCCTGACGATACCACGCATGCCGGTCCCCCTTCCTTGGAGTAAATCCTCGCCACCGCCGGCTCTGGGCGGTGCGCCTCCACCCAATCGACCAGCCCCCGGAAGTGTTCCTCGGTGGCTTCCTGCTGCAGCCACGAGTGGACCACCTCCGCCACCTCCGCCACCTCCATCCGCCGTAGCTCCTCCACGCGCAGAGTGCCGTAGGGGATCGACAGCACGTTGCCGAAGTAGCTGGACATGACAGTGTCGCGGAGGCGAGCCCGGCCGTCCACCACGATGCCCATGCGGCACCAGTTGTCCCCCGGCGCCGCCGTTATCGCCAGGGCGCGCCAGAGGTAGGCGGTGAACGCCTCGATTTTGGTTCTCCCCTTGGTGGACGACTGCATGCGGTCGATGTCGGCGGCGGCGATGTAGTAGATGCGGTTGATGGCTTCTTCGGAGTGATCATGTTCGGGGGGCGGGAGGGAGGAGAAGGGGACGTAGAGGTGGTCAAAGGAGTGGTCGACGCGGAGCGGGCTGCGAGGGAACAGGAGGGAGCGACGGAAGGCGGGAAGGCAAGACAGGGGCTTCGATGTGGAGAGCTCCGACCAGGCCACCAAGAACATGTTGGTGGAGCAGGCATCGGCGACGCGGTGGTCGAACGCGCAGGCCAAAACCAGGCCGCCGCACTTGAGCTCTGTCGCCTGTCGTGTCCACCAAAGCTCAAACAGATCATTCAATTACAGAGGATTGGCGTGATCGGTAGAAGAAATAGGCCACCATTGCCTGCACCAGTAGAAGAAATAGGCCATGCATGTACCTGAACACATAGAACTCCTCCCTTCTTGGGCGGCACCAGCTTCCCCTCGACGCTCTCGCTGGGGTGGCATAGCCGCAGCGCCCTGAGCTCCACGTCCGCCTGGGCCACGACGAAGTCCACCCCGCGGTTGTTACAGAGCAACTCCGGCTCGCCCGCCGAGTTCGCCACGACCTCGCCCGCGAAGGGGTAGTACGTCTCGAGCGTTTCCGCTAACGACGCCTTGAGCGAGCAGACCATGGAGGCCAAGGAGGGGTAGTGCTTCCCCCTCGGCTTCTTGTAGCAGAAGAAGACGCCGACGTCCAAGGCCGGTAAGAGCAGGTCCAGGTTCGACAGAGGTAGCCGGTGTTCACCCACCGGCGACGCCGCCGCCACTGTCTCCGTCTCCTTCACTGTTACCGTGTATCCTGTGCTTCTAACCATGTCTGCGTTGCTCTCGTCGTTCACAAAGAGTGTAAGCAGGAGGAAGCTACGTGGGAGTGCTCGAAGAAAAATATGGAGAAGAGGGATTCATTTATAGATCGATAGGTAAGCTTGACAAGAGTGTAGCCCCGGTATAAATGACCTGAGCACATCAGAAAGAAAGAAAGAGAAAGGGAAAGCATCTACTACGTTTGATTTCTTGGCCATGCACGCATGCATGATATGCATACATCTTTGGTCGATTAACCACAAGAGAACACAATTGTAGTAAGCATTCATATACTTAATATGCTTCATATTACAAGTTGGAATGTCCCTTTTGGTGGTATTTATACTTATATCAGCAATTGTACTAAACATTCATGCACCTGTATGCTTAAAGAACGAAGACTGTAATTTTCATGTTACTTTTAGCTATTACATGCATAGATCAATGATCACCAACTGATGAAAAAGCAGAAACTGGACATGCTGACAGACAATGAAGATGAAAGTGAAAGATTAACCATATGTTTTGAGTGGATGATAAATTGATGGGTTTAGCATTATTGCGATTGGAATATCTTTGCCAGATATTAGCATATTTGTTGGTGCAACCTTTATCAACTCTAGAACAGATATAATGAGATCTGGGATGTTGTTGTGACAGATCTTTTGGAGAAGGGTGAAGGACCTAATAGATAGCTCAGAATGAAGAGAAGTAGAAGAACAATTAATGTTGTCATCTATCTTCTAACTTCATACCTTTGTAAGAACTGACTGATGATGAGAGATCTGTTTATATACTTACTGATGGCTTAAAACAAAGCTAAAACAATCACAATTACGATTATAAAAAAGATACATTCTTTGTTGATCAAAGTCATTAATCTTTTTAACTACTTGTTGGTTGAATCACTAAATCATGCATGATGGATTGAGTGGATGTGAATGGGTAAACTTGAGAGATTATGATGAGCAATGGTCCTCCTTTCCTCCAGGAAAGAAACAGTCGTTCCATGCATATGTCCACACAAGCTGACAATGAGATTTCATCTAATATTATGAAAGCTTTTAACACTGTAGAATCGAATGGAATGGCTTGCAGTCATTCTTGTTGCTGTCGATCGTTGTTAATGGACAGACTGCAGCAGTAAATTGAAGGATGACGACCTCTGGTTTGCTGTGGCAGTACATCACATTTGTGGAGATGAATCCAAAAGCAGTGTGATTATTAGCACATTGTTTACATGCACTTCACCATCCTTAGGTCAGTTGTACATTTTCTGAAAGATGAAATTGCTGCACATCAGATCAGGAAGAGGCAATTGCATGATCAATCTGTCATAGTGTAGTTGTTGATGCTCAGTTCTTTTCATTCATTCCTTGAGATGAACTCAATCCTCCTGCAGGGCAGTGCTTTTCAATGGTTTTAAAATGGTCATGATCATTTCGATCATAAAGTAAGAGAGAGTTCCTATCAGAATGTAGTGATAGGTCTCGATCATCTACCAACCACAAAAACACGACTTCTTGCTGATGATCGGCTCAAATCACTTCAAACTTACCCTATTAAACCTAACTATTGTGAAGAGATCAGCCGTAACATCAAACCCAGCAAGAGATACAACCTTACTCTCAAAACTGGCATGATGTCCATAAATCGATAGCTTGAGGAGATCGCGTTTGGTCACAAAGGAAACATGCCGTTAAAAATCAACATCACTTCTATTATGTTATGATGACACACGAGCAGCCTGCAGTAAGGACGATGCGTGCATTAGGACAAAGAAAGCTCTATGATATCGCCAGCCTCATCTCATATTTCATTCTTTAGGAGGAGAGAAATACTAAAGATTAAGGAAAAAAGATCGTTTTTACAATAAATCAGAAGCTTTTAATTCATAAAAAAGAATAGAAAAAACTGAAAAGTGGGTTGATCCCAGTCGAATAAAGTGAGTGAATTCTATGTCATTCATCACACCCTTCGAATGTCCCAAGTGGTCTGCTCAGATTATACTGTCTTTGAGATCTTGTGCCATGGCACTCTTGTGAAACTGTTGATACTGGATAGAAGTTTAGACAACAAGCTGACAAATTTTTAGCTATATAAACAAAATACAAGACTGGCTCTTGAAAAGAGACTCTTTGTTTCACATGGAAGCTATGGAACTTACACAACACAGCTGACGGCAAAAGGAAAAAATAGATTTACCAAAATGGTAGCCTTTTCTTCAAAGGTAAGACAAATAAAATTCAAATACAGAACAATTTTTTTCTACTTCAACAACCAGTCCCGTAACATCATGAATTGTACAATGGGTTGCCCTTTTTTTCTTCCAGTTTCAATCCGTGGCCATTGGTTCAGATATGCAACATCTAAAACGAGCTTTGCGGACAGTGCATATGATCTCCATCTCTGCAATCTCCAGCATCCTGACCACCTCGGGGAAGGGAGGACGCACATCAGGGTTCGCGTCCCAGCAGCGAGTCATTATCTCGCCAAGGGCCAGAGGGCAATCGTGTGGTATGGTCGGCCGAACACCCTTATTTACAACAGCAAATGCAGCCTGCACGGCTGTCATGTTCTGGAAGGGAAGCATGCCGGTTATAAGCTCCCACAATACGATGCCAAAGCTATAAACATCAACTTTCTGATCGTAGGGTCTATGTTGGATCATCTCCCTGCATACAAGACCTTACTCCAATTAAGCATCAAAATGGAAATCGGAAATGTAAAAGAAAAACAGTGACTAAACTTGGTATTAAAGAAGAAAACAGAGAATGAAGTTCTGATTCAGCCGTTGATAGGTCAGAGTTGCTTTCCAAAATCAGTTTGTGTACCTACATGTCAATGAACAGCAGGTGCAAGGCCTGCAAAACTCCTTAATATTGTATGTATAACAAACAGTAACGAAGGCTATCAACTTTAGTGCTAGCTTACTGGAGCCTGTACTACAAAATATGTTTTAATTGAAATATGTTCCACCGACAAAAAATAAGCCTTTTCATAATTTATGATATACCAGTAAAGCCTCATTTTCTTAATAAACTGCTTTTGGGAAATCCGGCAGGAAGCTTCCACATATCCAGTGAAGCTTTAATGTCAAAAATCAGACAGACTAATAAATAACACTGCATTATCTGAACAAAAACCCATGATCAAAATGTCATGTCACTGCATTAGTATTTGCATCATAAAGAACTAAGATTTCTCAAACTGACAAGACAATGAGGCTGCAAAGGAATGAGATGGAATACGATATTTCACAAGAACCTAGAGTTTATAGTTCATCACAATAGACTGCACTAGAAATGGCTAAGCAATAAGCAATGATGCAGAAGACAACTACCAAGCATTAGCTGGATTGAATAATTGAGATGGAGGATTAAAACAACAAAACCAGAAAGGTTCCATAAGTATCTTTTTTAACTAGTAGTATACATAATAGAATAGTTTGGAGTTGAATTCTTTGCTCAGTTACCTTGTGGGAGACAGTTTTTCAGTAATAAATATTAGTGCTTATAACAAATATGTGCTTATAACAACTACAAAGCCATGATGTCCCAACTACATTAGTTGTGTATACAGTATAAAGGGTCTAGCGATTTGTAAACGCATTGTGTTTTCAGATGGCAAAATTAGATACTCTATTTTCATCTAATTATAAACACTATGATCATGTACACTAGAGTGCATGGATTTAGTTGCCCCTTGACACCCCATGTGTCAAACTGTTCCTGGCATCTTTGCATGATAAGGACTGCATGCAGTGCAACATCATAGGCATATTCCAAGCACATGCCTAATTTTACCCAAGGACAAGATGCCAGAAACAGTAGCCCTGCTGCTTCCTCTATGGCACAATGTATACTGCATGATAAAAGGGATTCAATGGGACATCTAACTAGATTCAAAAGTGAAGACCAGTTGTTGATAAGACGAGAGAAATACATGTAGCAAACACCAGCACAGTTTCACCATTGAGAAAGTTTTCTCATTGGTAAAGCCAAATTCTATGGAAAATCTAAACCTGCAGAAATCCACTAGACTCCTAATAAGTATTTATGACCTTAAGTGGGAAAACCACAAATAAAAAAAATCAACATGAAAAGCTCATGATACAGGAAAAGTAGCCACAGAAATTTTCTTAAAGACCCTTTCCACCAAAAATACCATTTCCCATATACAGTAGTCTTTGGAAGCATATGCAGCTATATCTGAAATATTATGGGACTTCTTGGACCAACAAGATTCAAATAAGAATAAGATAATGCCATATAGCTAAAGTATCATGAAATATTTGATAAACAAGTTCATTCATAACAAAACTACTCCTATAGTCAAGATTTTGCCAAAAGAATCCAAGGTGATTTTTATTGCCAGATAGGGCTATTCATATAAGCTTGCCCCAAAAGAGGCATGAAAACAATAACAGAACAAAATGCACTGATGCTGCTAGTCAATACCAAATTTCTGCTCAGTCATTCTCAAATAAGGAGCTTGATACCAAGTACATACACATGCATCAAATACTTGAACACCATTCACATAATGATAGGACATGAAATCATGACCTCACCAATTATTGACTAAAAAGCAGGTAACAAACTGTACGCTTAAATTATTTCAAAATAAATGAATAAATTGGCTTTCTTTCTTGCATTTTCAGGAGGCAAAAAAATTCTTCCTAGCATTCTTCTCATTTGTTGATAAGATGCTCTAGAGAAGGAAGATATGATTACAAAGAGCAAAACTTGACATCAATATTGAACAAATAAAAATAATTAATGATAAGGGACTTTTGGGTTGTCCTTAATCAAACATAATTGGAAACCTACTGTATGTTAAACTGGAACAGAAATGTCCTTTTTATCAACTTCTCCGAATTTTCTTGTCAGCTTTCTCAAAGGTTATTACTGAAAACACCAAATGGCAGACTACCTCAATTGTCATCCTCAAACATTTTGCAAAAAATGTCTAAGTTCCAACAATATAAAGGTAAAGATAAAAGCTTGCAAATATTTGTAGATCTTATTAGCAAGAATACAATAATATAAAAGATATTGAAGGAACTACAAAATCTTAGCATTCCATGTAAATATCATAGAAGAAATTTTAATTAAATCATATACCAAATCTATGGTGCAAGGTCAAGCAGAACTAGAACATAATTTGCAGCAAATATTTCTCAAGAAATTTTCGTAATGATACAAAAAGAAAGTAAAATTATTCACTTACGGAGCCATCCAACGGTATGTTCCTGTCTCGGGCGTCATCCCTTCAGTTTTCACCTCGATACGAGCCACTCCAAAATCAGCAATCTTTATTGATTTGTCTGTGAATATCAGAAGATTATCTGATTTTAGATCCCTGTGTATAAAACCTAGCCCATGCACATAGGCCATCCCTCTTGCAATGTCAAGAGCCTGTCTTACTGCCAGTCTTAGTGGTACTGACCTATTCTGCCTCTTCATCAAGAACTGCCTCACGGAACCACCCTTAGCATACTCAGTAACAATGCACCACACAACAGGCTTCCTACATGCTCCAATCAACCTCACAATATTTGGGTGCTTCAGAGTAGCTAACATCATAACCTCCTGCACAAACTGCTGCTCCATCAACTGTGTTCTCTCTGGGTCATTCTCGGGTCTCTCAAGCAGTTTAATAGCGACATCTTCTCCATTGTAGGTACCCTTGTAGAGCTTCCCGAAGGCCCCTTGAGCAAAGGGGAGACCCATATTGAGCTTGTTAAGATCGATGGTCCACTCCTCGTAACCTTGTAGAGTCTCCGTAGGGTGTCCCATATCCATCAGGGCATGTACCAATGCATCAGCAGCCAGCCCAGGGTTAACCCTGCCAGGTCGCAGGACACTGTGGTCGACCGAGTAATTCGGGATCGCAATCTGGCGGAGCCCAGGGTGGTTGAGGATGCCAGTACGTGAGTCACTCGACCCAACGCTACTGGCGTCCCTTGACATGGCAATGGACCCGCCATCGACGCTAGTCTGGATGCTGTTGATGCTATCAATCGACATGTTGGAGCCCTCCCCGAGCTTCCGGTAGTACGCCATATAATAGAAGCTGTTCCCGTTGTCGATCCCTACACCGCTACCCATGATTCCAGGAAATCTAGGTCCTTCCAACATCTCCAATCCAACAAAAACCCTCCGATGAGCCAAGCCCCAATTTTTACACGAACCTCAGCATTCAAGCTTCAATGCAAATTCCAAGAACCTAAAATGAAACCAGTCCTTATAAGAGGACGGTTTTCACCTTATTTCATATCCAAAATCTCGCAATCCAAACATATAGTACCGAAGAGAGATAAAATTCACAAGAATCAAACACTATTTCTCCATTCCTTTCGAGAATAACCGATCTGAACTAAGTTGATTACCTCTCGAATTCACTATATCTTGACCAAACTCCAAGGAGAAACTCCACAAGGAAGATGGAAACAAAATCACAGAAAAGCAGCGAGCATTTAAAGGAGAAGTGAGCAGAGAATTCCACGACTCACAAAAACCAACTGATCTGGGTCGAGAGACCACTGATTTAGACGAGACTTACCTCGATCGAGAGGGTTTTCTCCCGAGAGAAGAAGAAGAAGAAGCAGAAAAAGCAACCAAGAGGAATCCAGGACAGGGATGTCGGAAGGGAGAAATCGGAGGAAGAAAAGAGGAGGAACGGCGAGGAGGCGAACACCTTTCACCCTCTTTTGGGATTACCGGAGAGGGACACAACGACGACCAGAAGCGGACAGAGGAAGTCGTTTGTTTCTCTCTCTCTCTCGATCACGACTTATTAATCTTTTTCCGAGGTGGCTTTTTTATAGGGCACGTTTAAGTATTGTTAAACGCGTGTTAAATGTGCCCTCGCGACACAACGAGATGATCAAAACGCCAGCCAGCCTGGCAAGAGATGCTTTCCTTAATCCATATTTCCTCGTTATACAGAATTAGTCGCGATTATAAATACTTTAATACCTGTGCATGCAGGTGGAAATTACAAGTTCAAAAATAATAATAACATATATATATATATATATATTGTACATTGCGTGGACGCATCGTGGCTAAGATACTGTTACATGTCAGCATTGTGGATTGCCCACGTCAGTTTAATTTATTGGCATCCCTTCGTGCAGCCGATTTAGTTACGAGTTAAGCCACGTAAATCTTATGTATGATGGAAGGAGAAGAGGAGGAAAGGAAATTTTAGCATGTTTTCTTTGTACGTATCCCTAAAAATATCATTTGAAATATCTTTAGGGTGATTTTGAAGTGTCTTCGAGATGATCCCGAGGTAATTTCGATGTGCCTTTATATATTAAGACCAATATCGGGAGAAGTTTTTCGATTCTTCGGAGGTTCAAATTAGTTAAAAGAAGACTTAACAAATATATATTTTTTTTTAAAATAATTCTTTAACAAAGCAAGAAGATTATATTTTATATGGAGGAGATAACTTGTAACTACTTCAGCATCTCATTCTTAATGATTTATCTTAGACTTTTATCCACCTGGGCAAAGATACGAGGGTGACTAAAATCCCTCTTATTCGATGTTAATTTTCACATGACACTTACATATCGGATGATAATTGATCGTTAATATATATTTTTTTATTATTAATTATTTTTATTTTTTTAATTAATCCTAAAAAATATATATCTAGTGATTTTTTTTTGGCAACATTCGATCTTATTTTTTTTCCTATGAATATATTTATTTTTTTTGGTTTCTCCTAATATCAAAGGGCTCTCTTATTTTCCATAGTTTCTAAGATGTTCAAGAAAATGAGCGTAATACTTGGTTACACCCTTAGACCATTGGATTTGGATTGATTATTACTGTGTTATAAATGGATTTCATTCCTCATAAATAAAATTTATATTATTTATTATAGTAATAGCTCTATCAAAACTAAGTCTATTAAAAAATATTGCAACTACCATAAATTGATTTCTATGTTAGTTGAAGTCTTTTTGAAAAGACTTAATTGGGGTCAATATCATTAAGATAAATAATACACATTTCAAATTTGAGAGGGCAGAAACGTCAATACTCATAATATTGGAAATGTCCCAACATTAAAAACCACTGCCGAGGCGAACGGCAGTAAGTCATAGCGAGGCCGGAGGCTCTCCGCCACTCTCGCGGCTCCGCTCCACCTTCTCCAATGGCGATCCCCACCAGCACCAGCACCAGCACTACCTCCTCCTCCTCCTCCTCATTCGACCCGCTCCTCGAGACCGTAATCATAGGAGGCGCGAATGTATCCCAGAGGAACCACCGAAGGTTGGCCTCTCGCGGCATCGGCACCCTCGGCTCCCGTCCGCTCACCCCCTTCACTCCTCGTCTCCATGGAAGGATCGTCCAAGCCCTAGATCCGTGCCTTCCGAGATGGCTCGATATTTCCCACGAGTGCTGCCTCTCTTGCTGTTTCTGCGGCTCTCCGATCTTGTCCGCGGCAACACCGACCAGGCCGATGGTAACCGATATGTCGAGCTTTCCGTTTTCCGTTCTCTATTGATAGTGGCCAATACTTTTTCCAACAAGGCTTTTGATGAAATGTTCGAGCGAGTCTGAAAGACTCGGAAAATAGTTTCGATGTGTCTCATTCAACATCCTTACATGGGATGGCTTCTTTAGAATATGTCGATCGTAGAACTATCCGATTTTAGGGTGCCTTTTCTTTTCATCTCTTTTGCAGTAATGATTTTATATGTTTATTGCAGTCTCTGCCTTAAATGTTATGTATAGCAGCTTAAATTCCCCCCCTCAGCTGACTGGTTGGAGTTCCAGCGGTGGTGACCCCTGTGGCAACAATTGGAAAGGCATCAAGTGCTCTGGCTCATCCGTAACAAAAATGTAGGACTGTTTTGTTTTCTTGGATTCCTACCTTCGGTCGGTGTAATTCAGTCATCATCATCATCGTACCATCCAGCATTATTCTAAATTGCATTTGATGTGGCCGTAGATGCTGATATGGCTATGTGAACCACTGCAGATGAGGCCTATGAGTAAGCTATATGTGGTATTATGCATCTAGGTTTGCAGTCTACATGGAGTATGTTTTTGCATATGCAGATTATGTTTCCATATAGACCAATTTTTTCCTTCAGCATCTGCCATATAATTGATATGCCATGTTAAATATTATACTAATTACTTAAACTTAATTAACTTCTTGATACTTTCACTGATGTAAGTCATCAAATGATCACATTTGTAGGATAAATATCTAGTTTGACTGCAACTACCGGCATGAATCCAAGCAGAGTTGTGGTCATGGCGGAGCAGGATGTGGATGTATATATTGTATAAAGTTTAGTTGCAAGAATACATACATCACTTGGTCATGATGAACATATGATATAAGCTGCATAAGCATATCTGTGGTTTTGTTGACTGCTTGTATGGTGTTGCAGCTTTTAGAGCATTGCTAGAAAATGTAAAACACCATCAATGTTAGACTTTTCCAGGCAGCTACTTTCAGTGTTAAGAATTAATAACTTATACTGTGTAGAAAGGAAGGTTTCTGGATTATGCCTTTTACTTATGTAGCTTAACATTTAAGAACAAACTCACTTGGAAAGTTCTTAAGGAGGAAGGTAGTGATGTGAAACAGATACAAATACTGTTTATTCATACTAAAAGTATATAGGTTTTAATATTATATTATATCAACCATTCAGGTTCATTTCACAAGTGTGCCTATCATGCTTTTATTTTCTAATAATATTTGATTGGAAACTTATGAAAGATATTTTATATTTTGTCATTATTTTCAGAAGTCACATAATTGTGTGTTTTCTTCTTTTTGTCAACCAGCACACTCTCAGGTCTTCAATTGACTGGTACAATGGGTTACCAACTCTCTAGCTTGATTTCAGTAACTTATTTGTAAGAACCAATTTCTTATTTGTTTAGGCATATTGATGTTGCAACTTAGTACCCTTTTTTTTCCTTGTCTTTGTACAGTGACTTGAGCAAGAACAATCTTAATGGTGATATACCTTACCAACTTCCTCCTAACACCACTCATTTGTAAGTCACACCTCAAAACATTGCATGTTGATCAAATTATTTTTCTAGCCAGTGATTACTGTAATCTCCAATGCATTTTACAGGAACATAAAAGGTTTAGTGAAACGCGAAGTTATCTACAATAAATCAGTTTGGAATACCTATGTAGTTGTAATTATATTTAATTATTCTTTTGAACATTATAAGAAGGCTAATGTATAAATGAGATTTCAATGCTTTGTATGGTTACATTTCTTACATATTAGTTGGATATAAATTATTTATTCATCTTGGCATCTTTTTATGTATGCAGAAATCTTGCTGGAAATGCACTTACTGGAGGGATTCCTTATTCAGTTTCTCAAATGAATCATCTTAAGTATTTGTAAGAAAATTTGAATTTCATTGCATATGCTCCCATTTGACTCGATGGGCTTTACTGATTAGTTCATTTGATGGGGAGGTGCAGGAATCTTGCCAGTAATCAGCTCAGTGGACAGTTGACTGATATGTTTGGAGAGCTTTCTAGTCTCTCACTGCTGTAAGACATTTACTGCTTGATTAGTACATAGTAGCACAATCTATCCTATTTCTGTGATACAAAGAAGTTAGTTTGCTACTATGTTGCCAATGACTTACTACCTGACAAGATTCTTTTCCTTCAACAAGACATTTGTTTTAGTGATCTTCATTAGTATATTTTATCACGTTGAAGAAGTTATATTGTTGAGGCATTAAGTGATTGACTTATCTATTGACAATATTAATCAACTTGTGTTCTAGTGTATAATTACACTAGAACACAAGTGTTGATGGATAATTACAAAACTGGATCTGAGTCGTGTGTTCTAGTGTTGATGGATGCAGATTGAATACTTTGCCATACCTAACCACCCGTGCTTTACTTACAGTCCATCCTTACCACTTACCACTACTTTATGGCCAACCACCAATACCTCCTTCATTATTGCTGCTACCAATTTTGCTATTGGTGTCGCTGCTTTCACCAAAATTACCACCATTGTTGCCGCCACCATCACCGCCACACCTTCGTTATCATTACAACACTACCTCTACAAATAGCCTCACTCTCCACCTTCAATAGCTCTGCTCCTACCATCACCATCATCATCCCTGCTACCATTGACACCACCACCACTACAAATTGCAGAAGAGACAAAAAAGAAAGAAGAAAGAAATATTTTGATTTATAATATATAAATATGTTTTGCCATAAATGAATTGAAAAATAAAGATAAAGATGGGATGAAAGGCAGAAAACTATTTTTTTGAAATTAAACAGACCCTTTCTAGCATTTGTCTCCAATACTTAAGTTCAGAATTAATCTCAACTAATTTCATTAATCAAAATAATATCATTAACAAATAACATTCACTAGGGAAGTTTATCCTGAATAGGCAAGTAAGCTCCTTCATTGACCCAAGAAATTATATTAGACATGTTTGGACCATTTGAGCCAGAATGCTTAACTGAGATTTACTAATAGTATGCTCATCTAGTCAAATATACTATTATTTGGAACTATTAGGGCTCCATAGACGTCTAAACAATTATAGATTTTGCGTTTGTTGGGGTGCCATAGAAACGTAGAACAATTATTCCAGCACTAAAAAGTATCTACAATGATGATGCCAGTCATGCATATCTCTAAGGTGGATTCCAGTGATGCAGCCATTATGGATCAGATGAACCTCGCAAGTGAACCTTATTCAAGTTCCTTCTAACATTGTCCAGTTTTATGTATTATAGATATCATGTTTGACTACCATGAAGATCAGTATAATGGTGCATGATCACAATGTTAGATTGGTGGTAGATGATTCATAAAAAACGACTTGGTAGCCCTATCTGAAAACTTATGAACATTATAATATATATTTTATGATGCTTAAAGATAGTGCTGGATTTTATTCTGCTGCAATAATATCAATATCTCGATTAGATGTAGTGGTTTATCTGCTTGTTGTTGTTTGAATGATTAAAAACAAGTATACACCTGTTATGTACTGTTCAATAGATGATGTCAGAATGGAATTACAAGTACCATTCATCGTTGGATTCACTATACATTAGAATATATTTTTCCTCTGTATTTATGTGATAATCTACTTGAGCTAGTTGGGTGATCTTTCAAATAAACCATGGTGATCTTGCAGGTGTTGTGATAGCTTGGTTTTCACTTATCTGATAGCATTTTCTGTTCTAGCATCATTGGTCACAGATGTTGTTTGTATTTAGGACTTAACAATTATGTTTCTGTGTAATACTCTTGTTCTCATGTATGAGCTTTGTGCATATGGCCATATTTTATTATTACTAAGTTCGAGTTATGACATCAGGGATCTCTCATTCAACCGCTTCTCAGGTAACCTGCCTAATAGTTTTGGATCTCTCTCGAGTCTCAAAACTTTGTAAGCAACTCAATTGTTCCTTCAATCTATCTTTGTGAGTTCGTTCTAAACTAATAAGCATTTGAATTACAGGAATTTGCAGAACAATCAGTTAAGTGGTTCAGTTGATGTTCTTGCCACTCTATCTTTAGAAAACCTGTATGTATTGCTTAATAATCAGGTTATGATGTATATGCCCCTTTCATCTGCTTGAAAATTGGATGTGAAGTTTGCAATACCATATGTAATTCAGTTTCGTTGGAAAAAGTTCTGCAGATGCTAATGGTGCTTACCTTTTTCAATTTGATATGTGATTGGTTGCCATGATAGCAAGTACTTATGTAAATTTTAGAGAATTTTAGTTCAAGTACATGGTGACATGCTTTTAGTTTCAATTTATCTTGTTATAACAATTCAGTAAAATCTTTTAGTTTCTTAAAATGGAAGGTTATATAAATTATGCTTAAAAATGTACTTAAGCAACAGAAAGTAAAAAAAGTGACATATTTTGACTATACAAGAATTATAAGGATTCCAGGATTATGCACTTGCAGAAATATTATGCATTTACATGGGAAGGCTCTCAGATAGAGAAGAGAAACTTAATTGCACAAGAGACATTCAACTCTTTACAGCTCAAAATAGAAGGCAAAATTGTTAAAATTGTTGTGTTTTTGCCGATATATGACATCCCATTTGTCAGTATCTGTTTTCATATTTTACTGCTGAATTAATTATGCTCAACACATTAAACAATTTAACAATTGCTTGCTTCTTGTAAGTCAGCTAACTTGCCAATTATTCAATCAATCTTTAATGAGGTTTTGTTGTTATGCCACTAGGAATGTTCAGAACAATCAGTTCACCGGATGGATTCCCAACAAATTGAAAAGTATAAATAATCTTAAGTGAGTAGGATTATGCTTCTTTTTTGGTTTTTGTGGATTTTCTTCTTTGTTGAGTATTTTCTGTTGGTTATTTTCTTAAGGGTTGGAGGAAATTCTTGGTCAACTGGAAAACCACCTCCAGGTATGGTTACAGCTAGAGATAATAATAATGGCAAAAGCCACAAAAGCTCAATTAAAGATGCCAAAGATAACAAAGTTAAAAAAGGAAAACAACATTCAGACCTGAAAGGTGCAGTCATTGCTGTGATACTGATAGCTGTGTTAGTTGTGGCCCTTATTTTATTGGCTTTGGTTAAGCGAAGATCTTCAGGTTCATCTCATTATACTGACGAACGACTCAGCCATAACAGATCATTTAGTCCTCTAGCAGACAATAAGTTTACAGGTATTTTCTTTCATCATGTTAATCATTCAGAATCTTAACATAATTTTGTTGTGCAGTTGCTCTTATGAGTTCTGGTTGCAGTTGCAGAAATTATATACTTGTGTATCTGATTCTTAGCTTCATTTCACAAAATTCAGATCAAGGGTGAATCTTATCTGATTTACTATCTGATTTGAGTCTGACAGCTGACTGATGTCGCTCTTGTGTACGAAGCCTCACATTCCTTTGTCTGATGACCTTATACTCTTGCATGGACTTGATTGATATTTGATATAAACCATTTCCACGTGGTGCAAATTCTAACTCATAATGTTTAATTTAAATAATTTATTTCTGAGATAAAAGTGGAAGTTGTTTTCAGTGGGTTATACATAATTATTTATTGCATGCATATCATTGATGGCACAAGAAGAATTGTTCTGGCACTAGTGGCAGTTATATGAATTCTGGCAACAGCTCCAATGAGAACCTTTTATTTGGGATCTAAGAAAATCAAGCATATAGTATTTGCTATTTATTAGGAGTTCCTAATGCATTAATGGCTGTATTTGGGATATGTGAACTTTTACAAGAGCAATACAATCATGATGTTTACAGTTCACTAGAGTTTAAAAGTGACACTTGCAGTTCAGGTTACATGAGGGTTAACCATAGGATATACAAGATCCACATAGTATGGAAGTCGACAGGGACTTGTTGAGTGTGGCATATGATAACTAGGATGATTAAAATCAAGAAGGGTCTCTGTAGTGGTATGGCCATCATGTGTCAATTTTATAAGACAGTAGTGAGATTATAGATGCTTTATGGACAAGAAAGTTAATATATAACATATAGGAGAAGTTAGTTTCCTTGAGATGGATGTGAGGTTAGAAAAACTGTTTAACATTCTCAAATGATTAAGGTATTAATGTCTCAACTTATAATGAGGGAACATGTTTAAAGTGGTATATCTTAGATCAGGTGAAATAATTTAGAATTGTGGTGCAAGAAGAGATGGAGAAAAGCATAAGAAAAAAAAAATATTAGAAACATTAAAAATAAACTTGATGGATTTCATGGCAGGAAAACATCATTGTAGCCAACCCCAACTACTTGAGACCTTACACTTGTTGTTGTGGGCACCTTAACATAAATAACTTTCTATGGGTTTATTTCTGAAGCTAGAAGCAAGCTAACTCTTATATATTGTAAGTATGTTGTTTTAAAGGAAAGCTTAAACTGATTGTATGGCAATTGTTAATTTATATTATTACTAATGGTAATTGAATATGCATGATGCTGCCTTATGGTGAGAAACTAAGACAAGACAACATATTTAACATTAAAGTCCTTTTGTTACTCTAGCAATTTCAGGAACATTACTTGACCACAGAATTCAATTTGTTCATCAAGTTTGGAGATGTGATTGTTAAAGTTGCTATATTTCAATAAGAAGCTGATTAGAGTTTTTTTTTGGTTTAGCACTAATAAAATTAACTGTTTATCTTCACTATTTTCTTTGTAAAGCAAATCAGAAGTAAATTCTTCGGATCTGAAATTTAATGAGGTCCAATTTGCTACTATGTTGCGAGGAAACCCATTCTAGACAATTAGTTGGACTTATTTGAGGGATGATCAGAGAGTAATTACTGATCAGAGTTATAACATGATGGGCCTTGTTCATATGACCATATGATATGTACATAATACACTTGATCTTGTTGCCAAAGTCAGTTTCTGGTTTAGTTCTATAACACTCATTTTTTTCCCTCTCAGAATGAAATCTGTGCAGCAATTTGATTTAGTAATGAATCTTGGTGCAATGGAACTCATGTCTATTAAATCAAATCTTCTGTACTTTTTTGTTGGAAAATTTCCTTTTCTTGGTCATTATAAAATTTTTTAATATGATAAATTTTGGAGTCACTAGCAGGGCTTAAGGATTCTTCTTCTTCAATTGACATAAAGGCTATAGAAACATCTTCCATGGAGCTTAAACCACCAGCAGCTGAAACCCAAAAAACATACAATGATAATGAGTTTGCAAATAAACTTAATTCCAGAGGGAGCACAGATCCCGTTAGTCTCACTATTTATGCATTAGCTGACTTGCAAGCTGCTACCGGAAGCTTTAGCTCTAGCCACCTTCTTGGGCAAGGTAACATCGGATGTGTATACAAGGCAAAATTTAATGATGGGAAGGTACAATTACATTTGGAAAATGTTGAATTTACTTGAAAATGATCCTAAATAATCTGTTTTCTTCTATCTTTTTTCATTGAGCATGTACATGGTGTTCAAAGATAGTCGGTCTCAGTCATATGTATGGATAAGTCATGAAAATAACATGCTATGTTTTTGGCAACATGATTTCACATAGCCAATGACAGCCAACCAATGTCACGTTTTCATGTCATATGATCATAACATGAATAATAACAATTTTCTTTTTGTCTTGCTACTTAGTGTTGGCTTTATCAGCAATTATTTGTTACTAGATGGGCTGGACTAATGCTTATTACTGCTCACTTTGTAAAAGCAATGCATCTCAAAAGTCCTAGGTCGTTGTATTCATGTATATGTTATTTGCATTATATATATAAAGCTGATTCCCCTAGTTGATAGATTTCATGATCTCATTTTTGAAGTAGCCGCTCGTCGAAATTGGTTTTATTGCTCAGGATGTGTATATGAAATATAGCTCATCTTATCTTATAAGTTTGCTGGCTTAAACCAATTGCTAAAGCTTGCGTCTAGCTTGAACTTTTAGAGTATAGCTCAATTCAGACAGTAGATGAGCATGGCAACCTTTCTTTATGGGTAAACCATACCTGGCAAAATGGGGTCATGCTTGACTTATTGAGTCTATACTTATGAATTTAAATTATTTGCATGGAAGCAAAAAATAAAAATAAAATAGCCTGAACATCCTTCTAGAGATGCAAACCATGCTCCTCTCCTTGTATACACATTACATATGTGCATCTACATATGTAAACATTATGTGCATGTACATTGTGTGCATGTACATTGTGTGCACATTGACAGCAATGGACAGAATATACATATATTAATTTTTCCGTATGTTATACAGACGGGTGGTTTAGGATGAAGGTAACTTATGGATTTAAATATTATCCATATTCTACATGTTGAAAAGGTAAAAGGAGAGTATTCCTCCCTATAAGAGGAGCATTATCCCTATTCTACATGTTGAAAAGGTAAAGGGAGAGCATTCCTCCCTATAAGAGGAGCATGGCTTATCAAATTGACATGTAATTGACACTCAGGTCTCGACATGGAAAATAACTGAATTGGGTTATTTAAATGTGATACTTATGTAGGAATAGCAAAAATGTGATGTTTTATTAGTTTGAGTCTGACTATTAAAAACTTTTAATAATATCTACTTGTGTAGTTTTCAAGTTTCGGATCAAATACCCCCCAGATTAATTGAGATGGTACATTAAAATTGGATTTGTCCATATGATATAATATAAATAGACATCACATGGTTGCTTTTTAGAGATATTATGCTATTTCATGTCTTTCCTATGCTTTTTCCTTTTTACATCAGAAATATTTATTATTATCGTGACTGAGTGTGATTCAAATATTCATCATTTATGATGCTTTCTGCCTTTCTCAGGTTTTGGCTGTTAAGAAGATAGAGACATCAAATTTATCAGGAAGCTGTTCTTATGATTTTATGGAGATAGTCTCTGGCATCTCCAGGTTGCATCATTCAAACATCGCTGAACTTTTGGGTTATTGCTCATCATCTGGCTACCAACTCCTAGTATATGAACTACAACAGAATGGTTCTCTCCATGGATTTTTACATTTATCGGATGATTATAGCAGACCATTGACCTGGGACACTAGAGTGAGGATTGCTCTTGGGACAGCCCGTGCTATAGAGTAAGTATCTATCATTAAAATGCTATCTAAGTGGAAACGATAGTCATAGCAAGCACTTGTTTTCCCCCACTAGATACCTAATGTTATATTGCATTCCGATAAATGATTCTGAAAGTAATTCAACACAATCATTTAGAAAACACAGTTTAGATTACAAAATACGGTACTATCTTTAGAACCGGTTATATTTATGGCTACACTAATATATCAACTGCTTTCATTTTCTCATAATATGTTTTGCCAACTCATCCTTTGTGATTCTATTATTTGATTTTTGACACACTCATTTAGCTGTTGAATATGCTTTTCTGAATAACAATCTAACGAACCTGAGTAAAGCGAAACTTGGAGAAAGAACTGGATGAAATGCTTTAAGTTACAACTGTAAACTAGTTGAAATATTGAGTGTTTTTTGTGCAGTCTTGCTATTGAAAATCTACTTAAAGACGTGCTTCTCTGCGAACATTGATCTTTTTGACATACATGACTATTTGGACAATTACTTTTGTAAATATTTATTCTTTTAATAAAATACAAAATAAAAAAAAGTAATTGTACTAATATATATTTTTATTTGGCATTGTCAGTATCAAGTTAAAACTGTCAGTGTAAGAACCAGGCTTTTCAGCTCTGACATGGAACTCATCAGGTGTCCTTTTGCAGTTTTTATAACCTTGTCTGTGCTTGACTAATGGGTTGCCACCATGTTGTGCTTTATAATTATCATGCATTCTGTCTAGAGACTTGAAGGGAGAATTAACAGCTTTTTGGTTTGATAATGCATCAAAACATAAGCCATAGACTCAAGTACCTATCCTGGTTCGTTCTTTATGAGAGATCTCATAAGCTAGATGGCCTTGTTGACATCCAGTGGCTTGACCAGTATGTTCGTCCATAATAATTGAACCAAGTGGTTTAAGTTTTAGCTTGATTAATCTTCATATTTTGTTATTAACCATTGATATCGTAAGGTATTTCAGTAGCTCGTATATCCGTAACAAATTGTACATATTTCCCAATTTCATCTGATAATTAATTTTTGTTCAGGTACTTGCACGAGGTCTGTGCCCCATCTGTGGTTCACAAAAACATAAAGTCTTCAAACATTTTGCTTGATACTGAGCTAAACCCATGCTTGGCCGACTGTGGTCTAGTCATCTTCTTTGAGGTTTCAACTAAAGTTCATTTGCAAATATCAAGGGACGATGCATGACATCTGACACCACTATACTGAGTCAGTGACTTACACATCTTTTTTGCATCAGGACACAAGTGAGAACTTGGGCCCCGGATACAATGCTCCCGAATGCACAAAACCTTCTGCCTATTCAATGAAGAGTGATGTCTACAGCTTTGGAGTTGTCATGCTGGAGCTATTGACAGGTCGTAAGCCCTATGACAGGTAACTAGAGATTCCTGCATTTTTGGTAGTCTTTTCATAAAATTTTAAGCTAAATTGATTTGTTTTCTGACAAAATGTACAGCTGAGAGAATAAGATTCAGATACTATCACTCATCATTCTTGCCGATGCATGTAGTGTATCATGTAAATAGAAGTGAAATAATCTTATGAACTACTAGTGCATGCTCTTGTAACTCAAAACATCTTTGTTCATATTGTTTGCTCAAAGGGGCACTACATGTAGTTTTGTAGTCTAATTGCTGTTTTTAATTTCTTCAGTTCGAAGCCAAAAATTGAACAGTCATTGGTTCGCTGGGCAGCATCACAGCTTCATGACATTGATGCGTTGGCACAGATGGTGGACCCGGCCCTCCGTGGCCTCTATCCGCCAAAGTCATTGTCTCGATTTGCTGATGTCATCTCTCTCTGTATTCAGGTAAAGTGCTTTCTCAATCTTCCATGGTTTACCATTCCATTTTGCCTGCACCGCTTGAGATTCCTGAGAAGCATGGGGCAGAAATTGTGCTACACATTTTAAGTATGACATAATTCTGCTTATGGAACCTTCTTTTCTTGTTGAGGGTTGATGGTGATGTGAAATCCATCTTAAAATTGTTATATCTACGTAGTTTGTATACTCGTAAGCTATAGCTGCACTTGCCGTTAACTTGATTCTATGTTTCTTTCAACTATTCCAGCCGGAGCCTGAGTTCCGGCCTGCAATGTCAGAAGTGGTGCAATCACTGGTTCGTTGTGTTCAGCGCACTAGTATCAGGAAGAGGATGGGCCGAGATCGGAGCACCTCTCGCAGGAGCAATGATTCTAATCATGGATACTACTGAGAAAAGGTTTTAAATGAATTTATCAGCAGGTCCGAGGGCATTGCAATCAACTCCATCCAATTGGTAAGTTGCGCTGTTGATTGATGTACCACATCCTCTGAGGCAAAAAGTCGAATTACATTCTATCGATCAAGGAGAATAGCAAAGTTCCCATTCCAGTTTCATTGGACTTCTGGTATAAGTAGCTGCTAGCATTGCCTTGATCTCTTTTTTTTTTTCCAATTATTTAGGAAATTTTGTTTATTAATGAGAAGAACAGCTCCTGAGTGATTGGAGCTGAGAACGGCGGTGAGCCCCTTCTGTGTAAGCTTTAATTCTATAATTATTATTATTTGTTGTTGTGCAAAGTCTTGATCCAAGTTTGACAAATGTTGATGAAAACAACATTTACCAAACTTGTGTCATAATGACTCCTGTAATTGTTGTTAATATGAGTCATCAGTTGTACATGATGGACTATTCAAAATCTAGATTAGACTTATGTGGTCTGGTATTCTTCTTAAAAGATCCCCACCAACAACATGATGAACTATTTGTCAGTGATGGACTATTGAAAATGTAGCAGCTTTTTTAAGGGTCTATTTGTGGGTTTACATGCATTTGCATCTAAATAGAAAAAAAATATTACATGATCTTATTTCTGTTTTTCCGATGAACAAAAGCAATTATCTGTCAATAGAGTTTGAAAGACCAGATTTGGGTGATGCATTTCCTGCTAATTGTATGCTTATCTTCTAATGCTTCAAAATAACTTTCTTGTGTTAATCCAATTTAATTATAATTCTGTTCCCCCAGTTTGTATTCTTTCCAGTGAGAAAACGCGTTGCAAGGTCAAGTTTGCCGAACGAGGCTTGTGGTCGATGCATCAGTGGTGTTAATGTTACTTTGAATTTGTTGATGTTACATGTAGCTCAGTTCATCTTCTTTTCTTCAAACCCATTTAAGGTTTCACACTTAAACTCTGACCGAATTTGATCCAACACTTTTCAACCTCATCTGCATAGGGATTAAAAGAAAATAAAATCGGCAAATATGCATGTTTGAGGCATGTGATCCCTACATAAATCTCATTTCTTTTTTTGACTTGCGGATAGTTCCATGGCAGGTTTCCATCACCGAGGAAAAGTCAGCACAATCTACGTCGTTTCGAGTTGAAATTTCCTCCTTGAAATTGACCTTAAAAGAAAGGAAAGAAAAAAAACAAAAGATAAAGTCTACGCGAGAATCTATTTGTGCTTATGAATAATATATTAGGTGAGAATAAATTATTGGACTCATTTTTTTAAAGAAAGCCATTTATTTTGAAAATTTGACGTTTCAATGTAGAAAAATCCTACCGATCGTCTTGAAAAAAATATTTTTAAAATTTTTTGTCTGTAACTCTTGTCTGCTTAGCAACCCTTCTCATCGACCATAACCCTTGCACGAGGTCGGAGGGGACACGAGGGTTGCGATCGCCTCCGTAAACCCTGTTATCTCCCATCGGACCATTTGTCACCTTCTCTTTTTTCGGACTCTTCTAACGTCAATGATTATCAATACAAGGATTGATATATGACTTCTTCTTCCTCATTTAAAGACCGTAGTCGATTACGATGAGAGTTGACAGGTGAAGAACATTATTAGACATAAGACGAAGGGAGGGACAAGGGCGATTAGTAGGGATGGAGGTACGATAGAGGGCGATGATAAATAGGAAAAAAATAATCATTAAAAAAAAAGTGTTGTTTCGAAATTTTTTAAACTTAACGCTCCGTGCAAAATATCGAAAGTAAGTTAATCTTTTTTCCGGGAATTGGCCCTAAATTATTTTCTTCTTTCTATTATCCATCCAGTGGCATTTCCATAATTTTGTCCAATAAAATGACAGCAACGGGACCCATTTTGCCGGCTATTTCGTCGACCGACCAGCCAGAGAGAGAGAGAGACACACACACACACAGCGACGAGAGGAGGAGGAGGAGGAGCCAGTTCGATATTTTGATCTTTTGATCGTATCCCCGTTTCTCGGGCGATTGTTCGATTCAAAGCCGCCAGTTCGCAACGATTCCACTTATAGTTCATGAATCCGGATTGACCCGCGGATACTCGCCGGAAGGGTCGTTCCGGAGTCAAAATGGGTAGCTGTCTGTCTCTGGAGGAACAGAGTGAGTATCTGGCTCTTCTCCATCAAAGTTTCGCCTTTGGCGACCGATCTCGAGCTGTTTCCTAGTATTTGCGAATAAATGTCACCTGTGTTTTGAATACCTATCCAGTATACTTCCAGTTTGACTCGATTCCTAGCAAAACGTGTTTTGATCTGTTTCTTGGATGAGTGTTGCCACTCAAAGAAAGAAGAGTGTCAAGAAGGCATTAATATGATAAAGGCTATTAACGGTCAAAGTTTTAGCTGACATCTTCACATCAAATTTGAATATACAGTTTCATATTATGCATACTTTTCAGATTAGCAAGGTTCTCAGCCCCTTTGCAGTTCAAGATCTTCTATGTGATTTATTTATCACAATGACCAGAAACATAAAATCTTGGATGTTCAATCACACTGTTAGCAGATGAAATTAATGAAAGTTAATATGAAGAGAATATGGTATGGCATTATTGTTACTGTCTTTTGTTATATGAAAGCCTGTTTCTAGCATATGGTTTAATCTGATTTCACTTCTGAATTTTGCCTGTTGGAACAGAGAAAGCTGCTGGCTCACCGCATCAAGTTGATCGACGAATAGATCCATGTCGCCAGAATAGCGTAAGCCTATTGCCACCTCCCAAGGGTGTCGAAGACTTGCGGGTCGTAGCTGGATATGGAAATGTCAACACATTTACATATAGCCAGTTAAGTGCAGCTACCAAGAATTTTAGGCCAGATCAAATTCTTGGAAATGGGGGTTTTGGAATTGTATATAGAGGCTTTTTAGATGAGAACATCAAGCCAGGTTTCAAGTCTACCCAAGTTGCTGTGAAAAAGTTGAATCCAGAAGGTGTTCAGGGGGACAAGGAATGGCTGGTATTTTCCTTGTGATATTTTTTGAACTATTTTACTGATGAATATTTTCACTTTGTTTAGAAGATTGATATTGGAATTGTTGCCCTACTTTGTTTAAATTGTCTTAATAAAAAAAAGTGCAACGTCGTTAGAGTGATTTGATCAACCCTAAGATTTTAGAATTACATGAACAAAAAGAGAAATGGAAAGTTCTGATGGTAATCTTAAGTAAAATATTACAGTGACTAGGTAAAGAGTAATGATTTTATGTTATATCCTTCCTTGTAAGTATTTAGTTTCCAATAACGATTGTTATACCTGAAGGCTGTGTTTGACATGTAATCAGAAGTAGTCATACCTAAGTATGTTCTGACAAGTTGGTTCACTCGAAGCTGTGTAATAATGGAACATGAAATGCTTCAGTGACAAATTTGGATCCTGAACAAATTCTAGGAGAAAAAAGGAAGTTGCTAAATAGGGCTTCAACATATAAAGAAGACCTTGATTACTGGTAAGATGACTTTTCTCTTGGTGCTTCATTCACATATCCTGAGCAATTGACATTGGTGGTTTATATACATCTTAGGTATCTTTCTCTATTGCAGTGAATGGAAGAAATAACTCTGGAGACCAATTTGTGTTCATCAAGCTTGATTGTTCTATATTGAATATTTTTCTAATGGGCGACTTTTGGTTCTTCAGGCAGAAGTCAATTATCTCGGGCAATTAAGTCATCCAAATCTTGTTAAACTTATTGGTTACTGCTGTGAAGGTGATCATAGACTACTGGTTTATGAGTATATGGCTCGTGGCAGTCTTGAAAGGCATCTTTTTCGACGTAAGTGGTGGAAAGAATTTGTGAGGCGAAGGGTTATTTGCATGATAAGTTGGTGTTTATTTCATTTTCTAACCATCATAAGTAGCTGGATCTTGTATAGTTCATTTCCATTATTGAAAATTAATTTATAGTCTAATCTGGAAGCTTGTTAACAGCTATCATATCATAGCCTTTTTGAACTTTACAAAATATATTTTTTTACTACAATATTTGCTGATTTTTTTTTTCAACTTTTAGAAACCGTTAAAGAAATGTTGACAATGAAAATCCATTCTGCCTATTACTTTTGCTGAAGATGCGTCGAAATCCAAGAATTAGTCTTAAGGATTATCACTGCACCAATATCAAATCTCAAGTTCAGGGGAAAATGTGACTATTCCTGTCTCACATGGATCAAATGCAACATGATTAGCAATTTGTCACTGCATTAATCTCCAAACTAGAAGATGTCCAATATCAAGTCCATTGGAAAATAATCCTACACACATTTATCAGGTGCAGAATGCCCGATGAGCTTCCTTTTTACACTTCAAAGAAAATCAATACATGGTAGCTAGTAATTTGCATGAAAAACATAAAATATCAGGATTTATTGATAACTGCTGTTCGCTATGAGTCTTCACTTATCTGTAAGTTCCTGGTTGTTTGTCTTCACAGTAGCAATTATTAAATAATAGATAATGAAAATAACATTAACAACTACTTTTCACTATCTTTATGTTTTGTATGAGTGCTTTTAAAGTATTTTGGTTTTGTTAATGCTTTCTTAACAGGGGTTTGCGTAACAATGCCGTGGCCTACTCGGATAAAGATAGCCCTCGGTGCTGCAAAAGGACTTGCCTTTCTTCATGCAGCAGAAAGACCCATAATTTATCGAGACTTCAAGACATCAAATATTTTACTAGATGCGGTTTGTGCCAGCCTTTATGTTATAAGTTTTACTTTAGATTCTTTCTTTGCTGTTAGTTCCTAAAGAGTTGTAGTCATTATTCCATAGAGTATTCATAAACATTATGAATTATGGATGTCTCTTGCTCACTACTCAAAGGTAAAATATTAGAAAACAAGTAATCTGAATTCTGAATATTTGTGAGAGATTTGGCTGTGTAGTTTTACTTGTTACCAGATGACTAGTCAGACTGTCATTCTGTTTCCTTTCCTTTATCTACTATTACATGTTTTGCAGGATTATAATGCTAAGCTTTCAGACTTTGGCCTTGCAAAGGAGGGACCCATGGGAGATGAAACTCATGTTTCCACTCAAGTCGTGGGTACAGAAGGATATGCAGCTCCTGAGTATGTAACGACTGGTAAGTCTTCTAGAGGGACAATGCAGGCTATACAGAACATATTTGTGACATTTCTGATGAAAAGTAGCTTAAAAGACCAACTCATAAAATTAATGGGAAATGCATCCTTACCCACTTAGTCAAACACCTGGTCAACCACTCATCTCTTGATTTGCTAAAATTTACTTTCCAAGACCATTCCATCAATTGTGCCTAAATTTGATTGGGTGTTTGACCAAATGGGTGAAGGAAGTGTTTTCTGAAATTAATCATGTGAACTCTGATTTTTATCTCCTTCACCGGCAGGGTTTAGTTAATTCACGTTTTTCAATTGTATAGCACATTCAAATCTGAGATACATTGATTGATTTTTGGTTTTCCTCCCCTGAAGGAACCATTACCTTTATTTGAAATTACACTATTTCAGAGTCTTGCTTTGTATGGTGATCAACAGTGCCAATTGAATTTAGTCTGTGATATATGTTTGAATATCACGGTAATGATGTCCTTTATTCAACTAGTATTTTGTCCTCCTAAAGTAATTCTTCGGTATATCTGGAGGCAAGCACTATCATACACTAGTTTGATTCATCTCAGGTCACTTAACTGCAAGGAGCGATGTCTATGGTTTTGGTGTTGTTCTCCTTGAGATGCTCATGGGGAAAAAGGCAATGGACAAGAGTAGACCAAGTGAAGAACATAACCTAGTTGATTGGGCTCGCCCGTTCTTGACACACACCAGGAAGCTACTTAAGATAATAGATCCTAGAATGGAAGGGCAGTACTCGAGGAAAGCAGCCATGGTGGTGGCTGGATTGGTGCATCGATGCCTCAGCCAGACTCCGAAAGGGAGGCCCGCCATGAACCAAGTAGTTGAGACCCTCGACAGCATCCAAGAGCTGCCTGAGTGCAGGGAAGACACACTGCTTCAGAGTGGGGGAAACTCTCTGATTCTCTTTGAGGCTCCAAAAGTGGACAATAACACTATCAAAAACTCTTCAACCAAGAAGGAAGCCGAAAACAAATCAAAGATGCATGACAGGAGAAGAACAAAGCATGGAAATGGCAGGAGCAAAAGTGAAACGCCTATGGTTTTTCACGCATCCAGTCCCTCGCCATAGCCAGCATCAAGTCATAGAATCGACATCAAGAAGTAGTAGAACCGCATAACCATCCCATGATTGAAGTGCATATGCCATAGAGTTTATTCTTCAAAAGTCAATTGTTGTTCAGCACATACACAAAATTTTAGATGGACATTGCTCCAAATCCTGAGGTGATTGTAATTGGTGTTCTTGCTAGCTTCTTGATATCATTCCCAATGGATTTGCCAGAAGTTTTAACTGTTAGATATGGCCTCAATTGTGGGACATAATTGAAACTGCAGTGGGTTTGTCTGTTCTTTTCTTCATACGAATGACAAGTTGGATCATTCCATGAATCTCTTAAACTCTTCATTGGTTTAGGATGTAACAATTAATTTGACATACATGTCTCTTTGACCATATACTGTGATGTGTGCAACTGAGGGTGTGGTCAGTCAAGCATCTGAATCCAATATGCTTAGGGATGCATATGGTGAATATTCTGTTTGCCAGAACGATCATCCGAATCAAATATGATATGGAGAGTATTCCTTCTAGGTTAAACTCAACTATATAAATATATAAATAAAATATTTTTTAGTAACAACGGAATTATAAATATAAATATAGAGGATGAATTCTTAAAAAAAAAAGTCATCTCTTAAGGTTTTCGTCGGGAGTGTCCTCATTTTCAGAATTATTTTCTTTTTCTTATGGGGCTATAATGTGTTTACACTGTATTACAATGTCTTTAAAAAATTTATATATATATATTTTAAAAAAAATTGCTTTTCCCATGATTTTTTTTGGTTCGACGCCTAAAACATCTTTGATTTAATAATCAATCATTTATTTATTTTTTTATTTTTTTGATCGATTTATAATATCGTACACAATACAGTATAATCGATATAATGCTCAATATATATTTATGTCTTTTGGTTTTATTTATTATTTACATAATATGTAGAGGATTTGTAAGCTTGATAATCATATTTTGATTGGTTTTTGTGGTTGTTACGATCTTGTAAACATAGATTGTGTATAGTCATCATATAGTGGCAAAACTATTTAGAAACAAACCATTTACACAACCATTTTGAGGGTTTTCTAGCTTTGCAAAGTGGTGCGGAGTGTTAGCCAACACAACAACACGCAAGAGCTACCTAGGTGGCATATGTTTGAATGGGCCTTTGGGGTAGTGTCTATGGTTGTTTCACTACTTTGTTCCTTAGTAATGTCATGTGGGTACTTGTACAGATTTTTGACTATGATGGACTACCTTGGATCCTTTATCGTGCGAGTGTTCAGAGCTTATGAAGTCTATGTTTATAATTTATATTACCTATCAAGTATTTGCTAAAATAACTATTTTTAGTATCTCGAGTTAAATGTTTTATATAACTCTTCTTCTCTTTTATAGGACCTTAAGGGACCATTAGAGGTTTCGGAGGAACTAACCCTTTGCTAATGGACATGCAAAGGTACCGTAAGCAAAATCAGTTAAATCCGTAATAAATGATCTCAAAGTGAGATAAGCACACTTAGAAATACTTGGCATGGAAACATAAGAAACCTAATGGGACAATATTTAAGGCAACTAGCATGCACAACTGTTTAAGGGAAATAGTGTTGAGATGTAGGGAAATGAGTCACCTAGAGAAGCGGACATCTGGGATTGACATTTAGAAAAATGATCAACTCCTTTCTCGAGAGGCATCATGAGAACAAGCAAGCTATAAAGAATGCATAGCGCACAAAAGTTGGGATGACTGAGTTTGAGTTACTGCTCGACGTTGGCAACCAAGCTTGATAATGCTTAAGATAAGCAAGATGCTTTGCAAAGGATAAAATCGTGCAAGGAGGGATGGGTGTTCAGTGACCAAAAGAGTGATGCAAAACTTACAAAGGTGAGGAAAATTACGAACTTGAAGAATTTGGTACTCATGTAAGGGTTTGTATGCGAATGATTGATTATTCGTGGCCATCCCAAGGTGATCGAAACTTGACATAATAGAGCAGTAAAACTTTTTCTTTTGCATGGGAAGGATATGCTCATAGGAGGCTGAAACATGCAACAAGCTTAGCATATTGCTAAGCCTTGAGGGGCGTAGTGGGGGTTGTACTGATGAAGAGTCATAATCTAACAAGTGTGCTTGCTGAGGCAGATATATCATTTTACCATTTATTGTCAAGTCATAATTTAAGTTATCATTGTCATTTATCCCTCCTAAATATCCGTCCTTTTATAATAACTTTTCTCTTCGCATCTTATCCTCTAGAAGTTTTGGATACCACTATCCCCTTAGAATATATCGTAGTGTTGTCATTTAAGTTATCATGAAGGAAGATGCATAACAGAGATTGTATTGGGGGCAGGGGCTCAGGATTCAAACAATGATACACTAACTTTAGTGAAGTCGATGGACTTCGAGAGCTCTTGGGCGATGAATTATCCTAAATTTGTGCTTTGTTCAAGTGTGACCCAAGAGTTAGTAGACGAAGGTCAATTGTCAAAAGAGTAAACATAATTGGAGATGGTGGAGGCCTTGAGATATGCTGGCAGAGGCCATATGTGGAGAGATCTCACTCCAGGTTCATCCCATAAATATCAGAATGCAATGGAGATGTTAATAGAAAGTGACATAGTGCAATGGATTATGGTGAAATAGTTTAAGACAATGCGACACACATGGAAGCAATCTCACGAGGGATTTGTGCTTGTTATAGGTACCTTGTAAGCTAATCATGTGAGTGATGACACATGTGATATGCTGCATAATCTCTTTTGGTTAATATTTATTATGATATTTTCTTATATTATATTGGATGATGGATATATTGTGATATTCTTGGATTTATGTAATGAGAATTGAATTATGATGAGATCATGATAATAAGATTAATTTGACTTTAAACGCAAACTCTAAATATTCCATGTCGTAGATTACTCGATAGTGACATTGAGATAATCAGACAAACTGATGTATTATATCAAAATCTTTAAGATAATCTTAATAAAGCTCCAATATGTATTTTACCCAACAAGAGTCAGAGTTAGAGTTATTAATGAGTTGAAACAATATAGATGATCAAAGTTTGACTACTCAACAATGACAAAGAGTAGCTAGGAGTCGAGAGACACATTGCAACTAGAGCAGAAGATTGAAAATTCAACAAAGGCGAGGAGATGTACCATCCGCAAAGACTTCAATAATGATGTCAAAGGAATAAGTAGAAAAGAATATCATGGACAAAATTATAAACAGGGTATTCGTTATAATGCTTGTGTATATCTTTGTATTTTAGTTTTGTTCATACTTTGCATAGTATGTAGAAAGCTTGTGATAGGTTTGACAACCTCATTTTGGTTGACTTTTGTGGTAGTTTCAAGTTCGTAAACACATGCAATCATTGCATAAAGATAAAACTACCTAGAAACAAGCTATCCAAGCAGCTATTTTGGAGGTTTTCTTACTCCGTAAAGTGATATAGAGTATTAGCCAACACAGCACCCAAGAGCTACTCGAGTGACACATGACTAGATGACCTTTGGGGCAATGTCTACAGTTGGTTTATTATCTCATTCCGCAGTAGTGTCATGTAAGCACTTGTGAGGACTTTTGACCGTGACGAACCATCTTAGACCCTTTGTTATACGATCGTTTAGAGCTTGCGAAGTCTAATTTATATTGTTTCTCAAATGTTTATTAAAATGACTGTTGTGTGATCCCAAGTTAAATGCTTTCTCGAACTCGTCTTTTCTTTTGCAAATTCTTAAAGGACTATAAAAGATTTCAAGAAAATTGACCCTTTATGGGAGGACACGCAATGGTATCACACGACTTAAGCAAAACTAACCAAGTCTGTGATAATAGGATGAATCGATCTAATTATAATATTTTATATTATGTCATAATGTTTTTAAGAATATTAAAAAAATTATAACAACAATAACAATAAAATTATGAGTCTCAACAAAAAAAATACTACAATACTATTTTTTTGTATAAATTTCATTTATAATATTTTAATATTACATTATAGTATTTTTAATAATACTAGAAAAACACCATAACATAATTAAAAAATATATAATATGATATTTTTACATTGAGTTATAATATTTTAAAATATCGTTAAAAATACTGTATTATAGAAAAGGGGAGAAAAAAAGGGATGGGTGATTGAGGATATTAAAAGTATCAGATAAAAGGATAGAGTAGGAGAATTCTTAAAATGAGGTACTTCTCCAGAAAAAAAACTTTAAAAGGGCTTTTTTTCATGAATTCATTTTTTTAGGATATGATAGAACGCCAAAATTCTATTACACGAAACCGAGCCCCAACTAATTCAAACCGAATCCAAACTTCTTACACTAACTCGTCATATCCCTCCGCTGAGTTGACCGCCAACTCGGCCACCGCTCCGACGGCGACCGCCAGCCCCGCGCACACCACCTTCGGCCCCAGCTCGGCCGCCCGCCCCCCCACAGCCTCTTCCACCTCGGCCACACCCTCCCTCCTCTGCCCGGCCGCCACCGACGCCACACCCGCCGCGAACATCTCCACCCCGTCGATCGCCGCCGCCTCGCTCACCGAGTCCACCATCCGGGACCACCGGACGCATGCGCCGTATGCCGGTGGCGCACCCATGGTGGAGCGGCTTGGCGTGGAGGCCGCGGCGTCGAGCGTAGGCGGGGCGCACCGGCGGATCCAGCCGGCGAGGGCGCGGGCATAGCACCGCTGGGCTTCGATCCAGGTCGCGAGGCAAGAGGCCCAGTTCCGGAGCTCCGCCTCGAGTGCGGCAGCGAAGCGGGAAGGTCTCGGCGGTGGTATCCCAGCGGATACGGCAGCGACGGAGGGCGAGAAAAGGAGGAGCTTGGCCTCGTCTATCGTATGCTTCTGTATCCGGTGGCACTCCGCCATGGTCCTCCACATGCTTGCTAACCTGCGCCGCAATACAAAGGAAAGGTGAGAAGCTCTGATTGCGTAGAAGGAAATGTTTGATCCAACCCACAAAGGTGGAGACATTCTTAGGGTAAAAGCCTGACCTTATAAAGATTACTGCTTCAACTTCAATTTATATAAAGGTAAACTGGTCACAATTTTTGAGGAAGGGAATAGAATGATTATTTGGATAGATACAAAAACTTGAAAGCAGCTTACTTTTTTTTCTTTTGAAGAAAAAAATTATGCAATTAAGCTAAGAGAATATAAAAAGAATAATGAGAGCATGCAAGATTTCATAAACAACCTATGATATGGAAAAAACAAAGTCTGCAAAAGATGATTAGCATCCTTGATGTTTTTCCTTACATGATGGGGATCACAATCCTTTCCTTGCATGTTTTATT